TTTTTCTTTTTTTTTTTTAACTTGAGCTCCACACCCAGTATGGGGCTTGAACTGACAACCCCAGGATCATGAGTCACATGCCCTACTGACTGAGCCAGACTGGTGCTCTGACAATGTTTCTTTCTTTCTTCCTTCCTTCCTTCCTTCCTTCCTTTCTTTCTTTCTTTCTTTCTTTCTTTTCTTTTCTTTTCTTTTCTTTTCTTTTCTTTTCTTTTCTTTCTTTTCTTTCTTTTCTTTCTTTTCTTTCTTTTCTTTCTTTCTATCCAAAATGTGTTTATTGGGACGGTTTCCCACTCATCTTTTTATTTTTTTAAAGATTTTATTTATTTATTTGAGAGAGAGAATGAGATAGAGAGAGAGCACGAGAGGGAAGAGGGTCAGAGGGAGAAGCAGACTCGAGCCCGATGCGGGACTCGATCCCGGGACTCCAGGATCATGACCTGAGCTGAAGGCAGTTGTTTAACCAACTGAGCCACCCAGGCGCCCTCCCACTCATCTTGATTCAGGATGCTTTTAGTGCCGCTTCCGTCTGAAGGAGCATCCTTCTGTAAGCCTTGTTTTTCTCCTGTAGACTGGCAGGAGACAGTGGAGCAGCCAACACACAAAACTGTTTGTGCATGGCTGAACACGTGATTTTGTAGCATCCTGGGTGCTTCATGTCCATGAAGTAGGAGGTAGGGCTCTGCACCAGGCACTCCCCTCGTGCTTCCTCTCCTCCTCTGCCAGGGGACCGGTGCAAGAGGTCCTTTGTGAGGGGATATTCTTACACATGGAGAGGTCATCACCACCAGAGAGCTGTTTACTTTTATATATATATAATTTTTTTTTTTTTAAGTAGCTTCCGTGCCCATTGTGGGGCTTGAACTCAAAACCCCAAGATCAAGAGTCACACACTCCACTGACTGAGCCAGCCAGGTGCCCCAAGCCGTTTATTTTTTATAGTGAGTCTGTTTAAATGACATAAATATTTTAAATTAGAGGAATGAGCATTACATATGTTTTTGAATATGGATTTGGTCCCATGGTATGGAGAAAATCCTTTCTCACAGACTAATTACAAACAGTAACAGACTTTTTTTTTCAAGCAGTTCGCATTGACTATCTCTGTATTCTTTTGTTTCATCTGATTCAAAACCTAGAGGATTAATAGGACATTTTGTTTCAAAGTTGAATCTGACAATATCTAGCAACTGTTCATATTTCCTTTCCATAATCTCAAAGTCAGACAAGAATCTGAAACTTAACATGACCACACGTCATTTGTTACACATTCCATTCCCTTATTCGTTACATCATGTTGAGAGCATGCTCCAGCAGTTGTTCGTAGCCTTAGCTGGCGTGTACTTGAATGTGGCATGTGTATACTTTAGTATTGTTCTTGCTAGACAGAAGCAGACTTGAGTTATTAAAAAGTCACAGTATAGATCTAAATCTTCCTAAACATGTTTATCAGAAGCTCAAATCTGTGCCCAAAGATGACAGGAAAAGCTTTATTACAAGGGCTACATGAATTATGAACGACCTTGGCAGCACAAGTTAACTCATTGGTGGTTTCTTCCTTACCTACCCCAACCCCTCTACAACCAAATTCTTTTTTTCCTCTCTGTTTCCCTAGTTTTAGAGCAAAAAGAGCAAAGGAGAGTTTTGCTTTATCCCTTAAATGAGGGTGAAATAAAATACTCTTTTCTTCAAAGATCCCAGCCTTCCTGGAGAGGAGCTACTCTAGGGAGGTAGGAGGAGAATATTCAGATGATGAGGTCCATGGAATAGATGAGTGAAGGTGATGCTGGACTCACTCATCTTTACAGATAATCCCATAAGACTCTGGCAAGCTGTAGGAGACGGGGTCACCGAGGAAACGGTGTGGCACAGAAACAGATTTGGAGATCTGCTAGGATGTGTCTGCCTCTGATTCTAGGTTTATCAGAGAATAGGAGGTATGTTTTTTCCCATCTGCATTAAAGAAGAAAAAATGAGGTTTGTTGATATTTTTTTTAAGAATGTATTCTTTAATGGCCCAAGATTTTTTTTTTTAAAGATTTTATTTATTTATTTGAGAGAGAGAATGAGAGATAGAGAGCACGAGAGGGAAGAGGGTCAGAGGGAGAAGCAGACTCCCCACCGAGCAGGGAGCCCGATGTGGGACTCGATCCCGGGACTCCAGGATCATGACCCGAGCCGAAGGCAGTCGCTTAATCAACTGAGCCACCCAGGCGCCCCAAATGGCCCAAGATTTTTTCACGTTGTCTAAAACTAGTTGCAGACCAAATAGAGAAGGCAAGACCTTAATCTCACTTAAAAAAATTTTTTTTTATTTTATTTTTTACCTTATTTTTAGTAAGCTCTACACCCAACATAGGACTTGAACTCAAGACCCAAGATCAAGAGTCGCATGCTCTACCAACTGAGCCAGCCAGGTGTCCCATTACTCTTAACTTTTTATAAGCTTTAGAAACAGAAAATGACAGTTGGATTCAGGGCCTCTACAAAAGTAGACTCATTTATATTCTAAATTATAGCAGGTATGTAATGATGGTGAAGAAACATTAAATGGCTTGATTCTGGATGTTTATAAATGCTGGAGTTTTTAGAACATTTTTGAGCTTATTACACAAGGTATCAGTAACAGGAAAAAATGATCTCTTAGATCTAGGATTTAAATATCTGTCATTACATAATGGGTCGCTTTCCCAGCTGAATCACGTGAGCCTATCTCTGGGATGGGTGATAAAACTGGACTGAGCCAAGAAACTTTCAATGTTATTTCTTTTTTAACTAATTTGATTTTAAAACTTTTAATTACCTCAGTAAATACATATTGCATATTTTTGCCTTTGGTTAGGTAAATAACCATTAGTGGTAGAACAGAGGTTTGGAAATCAGGGAGCTCTTCTTGTATTTTCTGTGTCATAGATTAATGCTCTAAGGGACAACTCATGTAACTACCTTGAGCCTGGCTTATCTGTATACTGTTATCGGTAGGCCCTTGCTGCCCAGTAAGGGAGTCACTAGCCACAGGTAGATACTGAGCCTTTGAAGTGTGGCTGGTCCAAATTGAGATGTGCTCTAAGTGTAAAATACACACTGAATTTTAAAGACTTAGTGCAGAGATAAGAATGTAAAATATTATATTGCTAATTTGTTCATATTGATTACATTGTTGGAATGATAATATTTTGGGTACATTGGTTAAGTAAAAATATTATTAAAATTAATTTCACCCATTTCTTTTTTCCTTTTTTTTTTCCCCAAAGTATCTCTACGCCCAGTGTGGAGTTCAGGCTCATGATCCTGAGATCAAAAGTTGCCTGCTCTACTGACTTAGCCAGCCAGGTGCTCCTTTTTGTCTTTTTTTTTAATGTGGCTGCTAGAGAGTTTTAAATTCCATACATGGCTCACATTATATGTCTTTTGGACAGTTCTGGTTTGGGCAGCATTTCCTAAACTAATTCATGAAATATTAATAAGTGCTCAATGAAACACAGTTTGGAAGATGAACAGTGTCCAGTAGAACCTTTTGCAATGATATAAATGTTCTATATCTGCACTATCCAGTATAATAGCTACTAGCCACTGATGGCTGTTGAGCATTTGAAATGTGGCTATTTCTGACATTGAAAAATTGAAATGTGGAACACCTGGGTGGCTCAGTTGGTTAAGCTTCTGCCTTCGGCTCAGGTCATGATCCCAGGGTTCTGGGATCAAGTCCTACATTGGGCTCTCTGCTTGGTGGGGAGTCTGCTTCTCCCTCTGCACCCCCCCCCCGCTGCTCGTGTTCTCTCTCTCTCTCTGCCAAAAATAAATAAATAAAATTAAAAAAAGAAAAATCGAAATATGGAAGAAAGGAACTGAATTTTGAATTAGCTTTATTTTTTTATTTTTAATTTTTAAAAAATTTAATTAACTTTAAATAGCCACATATGAGTAGTTGCTAATATATTGGGACAGTACTGATCTAGAAGATTTATGAGATTGTTTTATTCAAAGACCTGTATATAAGGACTTGTTTACTATATTGCAAACTTGCTTAATATGTCTGTGATTTGGGTTTATTATGAGTAATGATAAGTGATCAGTAACAATAATATTTATTGAGGGCGCCTGGGTGGCTCAGTTGGTTAAGCGACTGCCTTCGGCTCAGGTCATGATCCTGGAGTCCCGGGATCGAGTCCCACATTGGGCTCCCTGCTCAGCAGGGAGTCTGCTTCTCCCTCTGACCCTCTTCCCTCTGGTGCTCTCTATCTCTCATTCTCTCTCTCTCAAATAAATAAATAAAATCTTTAAAAAAAATAATATTTATTGAGTACCTGTTATTTATCAGGTACTGTGTAAGTACCAGAAAGAGGATTTGTATGATAAATTATTAAGAGCTTAACTATATGTATTGCTCATTTTTTGTAATATGCTGGATGCATTGTGAATTCCAGGATGCTATTTGGGCTTTACCATGTTTTCATTAAAGTCTGGTTTCTTTCCTTTCCTTCTAAGTGCCCTTCTGTGAAAGCCTGGCTCCTTTTGAAAAGTCTGAGTGATGTGCTGCCTTGTTAAAGGATTTTTTCTTGAAAGGGAAACCTACACTTTCTGACAGATGATGATAGTTTTGTTTTTTTTTTAGTAAACTTTTTTTTTAAATTTATTTATTAGTGTGTGCATGCAGCGGGTGGGGGGTGAATGATGGAGAAGGAGAGAGAATCTCAAGCAGACTCCCTGATGAGTGGGGAGCCCGACACCTGGCTCAGTCTCACGACCCTGAGATAATGACCTGAGTTGAAATCAAGAGTTGGGACGCTTAACCAACTGAGCCACCCAGGCGCCCCTGTTTTTACTAAACTTTTGAAGTTAGTTATGCTTTTTACTTTAACAGGAACATGTACATGTTTATACAGAGACTTAAGAGTTCGGTATTACATAATATTCTCTTCGTTTATGTGTACACATATATTTATAAGTACTAGCATCGAGCAGTGTTCGTTTATTTGTTATTATTTCACAGTGAAGAACGAATGTCATCATGTCTGGAATCAAGCGAACAATCAAAGAAACCGACCCTGATTATGAGGATGTATCTGTGGCCCTTCCAAATAAGCGTCATAAAGCAATTGAGAATTCAGGTAAAACTTCACCTGCTTTAGGAAATTACTTCTTTATTGAGATATGCTTCCTTATAAGATTTATAGTAACTAAAACAAAATGCATTTCCACTGTTTTGTATAATTTGAAGAGGGATTAGTTAAGTGCTCTCTTAATAGCAATACACCATGTGTGTTGAAAAAGGCCAGAAGACAATCACGTAGACAGTGGAAGTGTCAATAATGAGACTGGCTGTAAGTTTTAGTTATCATCGTATGTTACGCATAACCATAAAGTCTTATAATATGCAGTGTGGGTAGATGATAATGGGTGGTACATGGATTAAGGTTTTTTATTGTAATAGTGGCATATTAATGTCTATTAGAAAGATGGTCTCATTCAACTTGTAGTTTTGTGACTACTGTTGCTTAGGATAGGGCTAAAGTATTATGTTAATTGGATGTTTCATATGGTTCTCAGATGTGGTGTAAGTAACTTAAAGGTGGTATACTAATGATTTAAATTTGGAAAATAGTCATCTAGTTTAACCCCTGCACTTAGCTGCTAGTAGTTTAGGCTCAGAGGCATTAAATTACTTGCCCAAGATCATGTAATTAGTTGAAGAGCAAATCATCAACTATGTGTCTGTAGCTACCCAGAATATTTTTATTTATTTATTTATTGATTTTATTTATTTATTTTTTTAAAAAAACTTTTATTTATTTATTTGACAGAGAGACAGCGAGAGAGGGAACACAAGCAGGGGGAGTGGGAGAGGGAGAAGCAGGCTTCCTGCCGAGCAGGGAGCCCGATGCGGGGCTCGATCCCAGGACCCTGGGATCATGACCTGAGTCGAAGGCAGACGCTTAACAACTGAGCCACCCAGGTGTCCCACTACCCAGAATATTTTAAGCTATCTCAGGAAAAGGTGCTAAATTTGAGTTTTTAAAACAAATTATTGCTGAAATTCACTACTGTTTATTTAAATAGTAAATCTAAGCTTGCACTTATGGCTGGGTGAAGAAGGCATCCAAGTCATAAAGTGTTGTAGCTTCACAAAGATTTGTGCCCCTAGAGTTGAAGTGGTGAAAGGAAATTCATGTCTCCATGCGGTCAAGTCATATGTATCCGCCGAAAGTCTTTGTGGACCAAAAATTATCAAATTGAATTCCAAATAATGAAAACATTTCACTGCAACCTTTCCCCTCATTCAGTTGTAATTTTATTTATAAGGAAATAATTTCCTTTGAATAATAAGCCAAATAAATGTGACACTTATATCCATTACTCAAATGCATCAGATGGTATAACTTTTTTAATAAAAATAAGAGGGAAGACTGTTTTAGTAAACATAATAATTTCAGTTTGAATCTAGTGTAAGTTCCCAGATACTCTGCCTAATAAGCAGGGACACTTTTTCCTACTGAGGGATAATTTGCTATTTTTCCTCTTGGTGACCATACTGTGCCTAATCCCAAACCATATTTTTATTTTTCAGAATTTTGCTCAAAGTAGATTTGGTAGGATGCTTCCTTTTGCTTATATTGTTTTGTTTTTATTTATTCCATGAAAGACATAATTTAGAAGAGTTTCCCTCTAAGGAGCTTAGATAAAACCGCCTTCAGTGATCACGGTCTCTGACTTCAGCCTCTCCCTTAAGAGTATCTGCTGGTTTCTACAGACAAGGATATATATATATATATGTGTGTGTGTGTGTGTATAGTAATACTAGAAAATACTCTTTTTCTCATAATGACAAAAACCAGTCATTTCCCTCCATGCAGACATATCCACAAGAATGCTCACTTACACCATTATTGGTTTGAAGTTGCCAATTTAATGGCATGTTTTACAGGGAGAGAATGACATGGGTCATCAAAGGGTCCATATTTTCTCTGCAGTTTTTCATATACTCCAAAGCATGAGTGAACACCATTTTTTTCATATTACAAACACAGGCTCATTTTGCAAAATTCCCAGGTTTTTCTTTCTTCTTTTTTAAAGATTTTATTTTTAAGTAGTCTCTACACCCAATGTGGGGCTTGAACTTACAACCCCAAGATCAAGAGTCACATGCTCTACTGACTCAGCCAGCCGGATGCCCCAAAATTCCAGGGTTTTCAAGCAGTTATTTGGCTCTTTTTTCCCCTTGTATCTGATATTTTAAATTTTGAGTTGCATATTACTTTGAGTACTCATCATCTGAATTCTATCACCTCTAGAGGCATTTTTTTCCTTTTTTTTAATTTCAAGTTTTTTTTTTTTAAAGATTTATTTATTTGATAGGGAGAGAGAGCATGCCTGGGGGAGAGGCAGAAGGAGAGGGGAGAATCTCAAGCAGACACTGTGACACCAGGCTGTCACGACCCTAAGATCATGATCTGAGCTGAAACCAAGAGTCAGACGCTTACCTGACTGTGCCACCCAGGTGCCCCCCCTTGAGTTTTTATTTAAATTCCAGTTATCATATAGTATAATATTACTTTCAAGAGTAGAGGCTTTCGGGGGTGCCTGGGTGGCTCAGTTGGTTAAGCGTCTGCCTTCGACTTGGGTCGTGAGCCCAGGGTCCTGGGATTAAGCCCTGTGTCGGGTTCCCTGCTTGGTGGGGAGCCTGCTTCTCCCTCTCCTCCCTTGTTCATGCTCTCTCTCACTATCTCTCTCTCAAATAAATAATAAATAGAATCTTTAAAAAAAGAGAGAGTAGAAGCTTTTTTTTTGCAGAGAGAGGGTGGGGAGGGGCAGAGAGAGAGTGAGAGAATCCCAAGCAGGCTCCACACCCAGGGCAGAGCCTGCTGTGCAGCTTGATCTCCTGACACTGAGATCGTGACTAGAGCCGAAATCAACAGTTGGATGCTTAACGGACTAAGCCACCCAGGTGTCCCAGAGGCGTTTTCTTTACTTTTGAATTCTTTTCTTTACTCATTTTTTAGGTAGTTGTGATCAGGAACTGCTGAATTGCTTCCTAGATCCTTCTCTAGGGAAGGAAGCTTCCTGCCTTCTTACGAACTGCTCTTATGTCACAGACTGCTTCCCCTCTATCTATCTCTTTATTTCCTTTGTCCTCAGGGCTGTGGTTTTTTCACAGGTCACCAAATATTTCTCTCAGAATCTTAATGGATTTCTTTTTCTTGTTCAGTAATTTTATTTTGGTATAATTCCAAGCAGAAAAATTGCAAGGAATACTTGTATGTCTTTTATCCAGATTAATTTGCCAGTTGTTTATATTTTGCCTCATTTGATTTATAAATCTTTTTCCCCACCCCCAGACACACACAGACACACAGACACACAGACACACACACACGCTCAAATACATGCACGTATGCATGCAGGTATATATGCAGATCATTCTTTTTAAATCATTGGAAAATAAATTGGACACCTGCAAATACAAGTGTATTTCTTAAGGAGATTCTCTTATGTAATCACAGTATTATTATCAGAAGCAAGAAATTTTAACATTCATCCATGACATTATGTAACGTCCAGTCAATATTCAGTTACCAGTTTCGCAGTATCGTATTTTATAACTATTTCCCCTCTCTAGGCTCCAGTCCAGGATCACACAGTGCATTTTGTTGTCATATCTCTTTATTTTTTTTTTAAATATTTTATTTATTTATTTATTCATGAAAGAGGGGGGGAGAGAGAGAGAGAGGCAGAGGGAGAAGCAGGCTCCCAAGGAGCAGGGAGCCCGACGCGGGACTCGATCCCAGGACCCTGGGATCATGACCTGAGCCGAAGGCAGACGCTTAACCATCTGAGCCATGCAGGCGCCCCTTGTTGTCATATCTCTTTAATCTCCTCAACCTTTCTACCTTTCTTGACTTTAATGTTTGAATCATGTAAGCCAGTTATTTTGTAGAATGTCCTTCAGTTTGGGTTTATTTGATGTTCCCTGTAATTAGATTTAGCATTTTGGGCCAGAATGTCTTAGAGTGATGTAGACTTCTGAGTGCATTATATCAGAAAACACATGAAGTCAGTTTGCCCCCATATTAGTGATATTAACTTTTCATCATTGGTTAAAGTGACAGCCACTAGGTTTCTCCACGTAGGAGTTACTGTTTCCTGGGTTTCTTCTATTGCATACTGACTTAAATCATGACAGTCACTGAGTAATTAGATCTTGAATTATTTTATGTTCATTGTGCAGCTCGAGATGCTGCTGTGCAGAAGATTGAGACTATTATCAAGGAACAATTTGCACTTGAAATGAAGAATAAGGAACATGAAATTGAAGTCATTGACCAGGTATAATGGTGATAAATTAAAAAAAACAAAGCTGTTGCAAAAAAATCTGTTGAGATAGAATCATGGTTTTTTCCCCAGCAGCGGGGAGAGGGAGAGGGAGAAGCAGACTCCCCACTGAGTGGGGAGCCTGATACACATGCGGGGCTCAGTCCCAGGACCCTGAGATCATGACCTGAGCCGAAATCAAGAGTTGGATGCTTAACTGACAGAGCCATGCAGGCGCCCCCTCCCCCTTTGCTGTTCTTTTAAAAAGAGTGTTCTCATTTTGGAAAAAAGGCATATGTCTTTTTTTTTTCCCGTATACGTGAAATTGCAGAAAAACATAATGAGGAAAATTACTTGAAATTCCATCCCAAAAAATAATTCCTTTTTGCTCATGCCCAGTATCTTGACTTTTTTCAATGAATATGCATACATATATATAAATATACATGTTAACATGTCTGTATACTCTTATAAACATTGGCTGTCGTCACACTTTTAAAAAGTCTTTTGCAATTTGACAGGTGGAGATCATCATTTTTATTTGCCTTTCTTTGATTATTAGAAAATTGAAGTTTTGGTCATTTGTATTTCTTATTTTATGAATTTTTTATAGTGTATCTCTACTGTGATTTCTATTTTTTAAAGTAACAAGTTGACATTTGTTTTTAGCGACTGATTGAGGCAAGAAGGATGATGGATAAACTTCGTGCCTGCATTGTTGCAAACTACTATGCTTCTGCAGGACTTCTGAAAGTTTCTGAGGTAAGTCTTCCTCCTATACAGTCATTTCTGGCTATCCATATTTGTTGTGTGAAGGGGAAATTAGTGTTGATGTGAAATTCCTGCCTTTGAAACATTTCTTATAGTGACCTTTGGAATTCAAGAAATCTAGCCTACCTTCCTGGGAAAATACATAAACTGTCAATAATCCTAAGTAACATTTTTCCCTTTATTTATTTTTAGTTTTTTTATTTAGAGGGAGCATGTGCGTGGTGTGGGGGAGGGGGAGAGGAACAGGGAGAGAGAGAATATCAAGCAGGCTCCATGCCGAGCACGGAGCCCGACACAGGGCTCAGTCTCATGACTCTGAGATCATGACCTGAGCTGAAATCGAGAGTCATACACTTAACCGACTTAGCCACCAGGCACCCCAACATTTTTTCCTTTATATTAAATCCTTTTCCAACTGATATTTAGCACTGTCCCTAGGCTTTGTTAGATACAAAGTTGAGTGAGACCCTATTCTAACTTGCTTTATTCTTCATTTGATTGTGATCAGCTTTGGAGTAAGTTATAGATAGATTGATTTTCCTACTGAAGAGCAATTTATAGTTTCAGTAGATATATCCAATTCAGGAAGCCCTGATTTTTTTCCCTCACTTTCTATGAAAAATTTTCAGATCCACCGAAGAGATGAAATAAGCACCCATTTGTGCGTGACTTAGATTCACCATCTTAACGTTTTGTCACCTTTGCTTTATCTGTCTTACTTTTCTGTAAAACATTTGAAAATAAGTTCTAGGCATCATGACACCTCACCCTTAAGTACTTAAATCATGTATTTCCTAAAGGTTATTCTTCTAGGACTTCCTGATATTATTTGATGACCAGTCCATATTCAGATTTTCCCAGTCATCCCCAGAATATCTTTTAAAGCTGTTTTTTTGATGTAGGATCTAATCAAGGTCAATGGGCTACATTTGGTTATTTGGTTTCTCTAGACTCATTTTATCTAAAAGAGTTCACCTTTCCCCCCCATAATATTGACTTATTTAAAGAGATCAGGCCATTTATCTTTATAGAATATCCTACATTTTAGGGTTTCTTTTTTTTCCCCCTTAGGTTATTCCTTCATTCCTTCTATTTTTCTGCAAACTGGTAGTTGGGTCTAAAGATTTGATTAAAGTTAGAGGTTTTTGGCAATAATAACTTCATAGGTGAGGCTATATACCTCATATTGTATGACATCAGGAATCCTAGTAATCAGGTTGTCCTGCTGTTAGGAATATTAAGTTTTATCACTTAGGCAATGTGATTGCCGCTGGATTGCTCCATTTATAAGGGAATGGGGATAGGATTGAACTGAAACAGAAGTGTTTCTTCTTGTTTGACATTTTGATAATTTCCTATAACTTTTGTTCATTTTTCATTCTAAAATTTTTTTCTTAAGTTTTCTCAGTTAGAATTAGATAATTCTCTTGGATAGTACTGGCTCAGTAGAGTGGTGGCAGGCCTGGGAAAGATGTGATGCCATACTGGTTTGCATTGTCCCCCATGGTTTTTACAGATAAGACGTACCATATTTTGGCTTTCATGTCATCCTGTGTTGCTTGAGGGTACCTGGCATTGGTCATACTCCCGATGTTGTCTTAGAGAAATCTAGAGCATTATTTGAATTTAATCTTAGATGTTGGATAGTTGTTTCTTCTACTACAGGAGTTTCCCTAATACATACTAGAGTCTGAACTATTTTTTAGAGCTACCATAACAAATTACTACTAGCGTCGTGGCTTAAAACAAGAGGAATTTATTATCTCCTGATTCTGGAGGCAATCAAGGTGTTGCTGGACCATGTTCTCTCTGAAGGCTCTAGGAAAGAATCCTTCCTCACCTTCTCCTATCTTCTGGCAGTTGCTGGCAAACCTTGGCATTCCTTGGCTTGTGGCTACATCACTCCAGTTTCTGCCCCTATCTTCACATGGATGTTTTCCCTCTTGTGTGTCTTCACAGTTCTCTCTCTCCACATTTCCCTTTTATTAGGTAAGCCCTAATCCAGTATGACAGTATCAACTTGATTACATCTGCAAAGGTTTGGGGTGGACATGAATTTTTGGGAGACACTCTTCAACCCAGGGCAGATTTTACTGTCATCTGTTACATGGCTTGCTATTGGATCCAATAAGATGGACATTACAAGCTAGCATCTGCGTGACATGGGACTTGCAGCTACTCTGTTTGAAGAGCTGGTTGTCCATTTCATGTTTTGTTGTTGTGTTGTTTTTAAAATTTATTTATTATTAGAGTGTGTGAGTGAGGGCACGGTAGGGATGGGGAGCAGAGGGAGAGAGAAACTCCAGCAGACTCCCTGCTGAGTGGGGAGCCCAACATGGGGCTTGATCTCATGACCTGAGCTGAAATGAAGAGTTGGATGCTTAACCAAGTGTGCCACCCAGGCAGCAGCCCGCCCCCCCCTTTTTTTTTTTAACTGTTAGCAGTTCTGAACTGTGTTATTTGGTAGTCTAGAAGTGCACTGATTTTTTTTTCCCTGTTATATTCTGATTAGAATTTATTCAAGGATATTTAGGTGTATTTTTGTCTATTATGGTCTGCCATTTAATTGTTTTTAGTTTGCTCTAACAAAATACATCACAGCTTAAAAAACACCCTTTATTATTGAGATTCAATAATTTTGTTGCTTTGAAATGCTAGCCTCTGGCTCCTTTCTTCTTGCTGAATTATGTTAACTGCACACTTTTTAAAAGCTGGGCTTCCTAGGAACTGTAGATGTATCCCATTATAACAGAATACACTGTATTTTGTATCCAAGTAACAAGATACACAAAAATACTCCAGGTTTCAGTACTGGACTGATGACAAACTTTATATGTAAGTATGAATCATTTTAAAGCATTCTATACTACATTTTACTCCTACGTGGGAGCCATTTTACATATACATTTTTAAAAATATTTATATATTTTACAGGAACATTTTATTTAGAGCAGTTGATGTGTTTATGTTAAAGCAGTGTGAGGCTTATTTATTTTTATTTTTATTTTTATTTTTTTAAAGATTTTATTTATTTATTTGAGAGAGAGAATGAGAGACAGAGAGCACGAGAGGGAAGAGCAGGCTCCCATCGAGCAGGGAGCCCGATGCGGGACTCGATCCCGGGACTCCAGGATCATGACCCGAGCCGAAGGCGGTCGCTTAACCAACTGAGCCACCCAGGCGCCCCTAGGCTTATTTTTTTTTTAAAGTCAAACTTACTTTCAATATGTTACTATGTATTTACCTCTATTTTTCATTTAGTTTCAGAGAACTTGCACCTTTAGCTTTTTAGTGTTAGGACCTTCACATAATTATCACTTTCTAGCTTTTGTTGGCTCAGACCACATTAAAGAGTTTGGACTTCATTTTATGGGTGTGGGCAGATTTTGAAGAATTTTAAGCATGACCTGTAAATAGATAAGGGTTTTGGAAAAATTAAAATTTTACGACTTCCGATGCATTTGATTAAAAGTTTGTTTTGTTTGCTTTCATTTTTGCAGGGATCAAAGACATGTGATACAATGGTTTTTAATCATCCTGCTATCAAGAAATTTTTGGAGTCACCATCTAGGTCATCCTCTCCTGCCAATCAGAGATCAGAGACACCATCAGCCAATCATTCAGAAAGTGATTCTTTATCTCAACATAATGATTTCTTATCTGACAAAGACAATAACAGCAATATGGATATAGAAGAAAGACTCTCAAACAACATGGAACAGAGACCAAGCCGAAATACTGGAAGGGTATAGTTTGATGGGTGGGAGGGAGAGGAGAAGGGAACTCGTATTTATTAAGTATGTACATGTACATGTTATTCCATTTCACCTTCCTAGGAACCCTAGGACATACATTAATTATATCCCTTTTGGAGATGGGGAGACTGAGTCTCGAAGAGCTTACAGTTACCTTTGTCCACAAGTATCAGAACTGAGAATTAAACTGAATTAAGCTGAGAATTAAACTGAATCAGAACTGTGCATGTCACAACTCCTAGATGCCATTCACATTGATAAGAGAGAAACCTTGAGGAATTGGCAATTCTGTGACCTTGTCCAAGGTCTTTTCATTCTGTCATGTTTGTTCTCTCTTCATCGTTTTCCTTTGTGAAACTTTAATGCTTTAATGATGCTTTAATAACTGGGGGAAACTTGACAAATAATAAATAGAATTGAAAACCATTTATTCCTCTTTGATCCTGCCAGTTTCTTATTTGAGTTCCCATCTCAAGCTGCTCTGAACTTCTTGGTATAATATTTGGCTATAAAGCCCTTATTGGATGATTTTTCTCAGCCAGGTGTTCTGTGATAGAGGAAATCTCCAGGTTGCTTTTCACATATTCAGACATCAAGGATTTGATTTATTTTTGATAAAAATCAAATTTAAAAAATTTTCTGGTTATAAATTTGTATGTGTTCATCATTAAAAATTTTAAACTACAAGAAAATAAGAAAGAATAGAAAAGTCATTCATAATGCCACCACCCAAAAATGAAAACTCTTAATGTTTGGATTTACTTGTTTCTTACCAGTATTATTTCTGGGCAAGTACTGCATGGGTTTTGCTTTTTGTTTTTTGTTTTTTGGGTTTTTGTGTGTGTGTGTGATTTTTTGTTTTTTGTTTTGTTTTCTTAAGATTTTATTTTTAAGTAATATCTGCACCCAATGTGGGGCTCAAACATAGAACCCCGAGATCAAGAGGTCGCATGTTCTACCATCTAACCCAGCCAGGCACCCGTTTTTTTGTTGTTGTTGTTGTTGTTTTTGTTTTTAAATTAAGAATTTAGGCGATACTGGTCATAGGATTTAGACACTTACCATCTTGTATGTAATATACATGCTCATGTTTATGTAACATATATTTGGTATTATGTACCAGGCACTTCTCTGAGTACTGTACAAAACAATCATGTGAGACAGGTACTGATACCTTTTTTTTTTTTAGAGGAAGTGGCAGGGAGGGGCAGAGGGAGGGGGGAGAGAGAGAATCTTAAGCAGGCTCTATGCTCAGTACGGAATCCAGCTCAGGGCTCAATCCCAGGACCCTGAGATCATGACCTGAGCTGAAATTGAGAGTTGGATGCTTAACTGACTGAGCCATCCAGGTTCCCCTAGGTTTTTTTTTTTTTTTTTTAAGTAATCTACACCCAAGGTGGGGCTCAAACTCACAACCCAGAGATCAACCATCACATGCTCCACTGACTGAGTCAGCCTGTTATCCTTATTTTATAGATGAGGAAATTGAGACAGAGACGTTAAGTAATTACACAAAATTTCACATCTAGTAAATGGAAGAGCGAAGATTTAAACCCTGGCAGTCTATCTCCATAGTCAAACTTCAATCATTTGTCTACGGCACTTCTCATTGAAAAATTTTTAATAATACAGAAGATTGAAAAGAAAGTGAATTGTACTTCTCATTGAAAAATTTTTAATAATACAGAAGATTGAAAAGAAAGTGAATTCGGTTGACCCCTTTCCCCATTCCCATTTCCCAGAGGTAACCACATAATAGTTTCTTGTATATCCTTCTATATCCTCTTTGCATATATAGCATAGATGTGTCTGTTAAAAGCACATATATACACATGGAGTTATAATGAACAAACATTTTGTGTAAACTAATGGAAAAGATAAAATAAAATTACTTTTATGCTGAGAGGTGCCACAAAGCCAGAGAATTTTGTAATAAAAAAAAAATCTGAGTTGCTCCATTCATAATTTGAATGATTTTGTGGTTTCTGCCTATTGGAAATTGTCCAAATTGAAAGTGAAAATTGATTATGATTTCTTTCAGGACACTGCTAGTATTACTGGCTCTCATAAAACAGAGCAGCGGAATGCTGATCTCACAGGAGATGAGACTTCACGACTTTTTGTAAAGAAAACTATAGTAGTGGGCAATGTGTCCAAGTGAGTATCCAGTTGAATTCTCTCATTTTCAGTTTCCATTTATCTTAATACTCTGGCATACTTTTATTATCGTAGTATTACTGTAGGAAGAGGTCTTAAGGATTTTTTCCCTCAAACTCTTAGTTGTTTTAAAAGTAAACTAAGGTCCAGAGACTTGAAACTGCCTCAGTGTGTCTACTAATCTTTGACATAGAATAAAATTGTGCTTGGTAAAAATTTCTGAGACATTAGCTTTTATTTTATACAAATGGGTTTTTTATTTTTAAGAGTTTATTTTTAAGTAATCTCTATACCCAACGTGAGGCTGGAACTCACAACCCTAAAATCAAGAGTTGCACACTCCCATCGACTGAGCTAGCCAGGCACCCCATATACAAATGGTGTATTTTATCAAGCATATTAGTGTGGATAAGTTTAGAACTTTTGACTTTCTGACTTAGGTCTCTCCTTCAGGGCCTTAGCTAATTGCTAAAAAATGTTTGTTCAAATTGAAATGTTTTAAATTTTTAACAAAAAGTTGCAGAGCATGTCTTGAAGACAGAATTTCTCCAAGCTGAAGGACTAGCTCTTTAACAATATGCTCTCATGTCTTGTGGGAGCACCATCATTTTGCCAAGTATCTAGAAATGGATAAAGATTTAAATCTTCAAATAGCATAAGAATGTTATTTTCCCCCAAAGTCTTTATTTTCCTTTCTCCCTCATCAGGTATATTTTCTCTGTGCTCTCTTGTCATCTTTATCATATTATATAGTCATTTCCTGTTTTTATATATTTTTCCCAAATCAGACTGGAATCTCTTTAGGTAGAAAGTATGTCTTGTTTTGTATCTTGTAGTAGTTGGTATCCACTAACTATTTGATTGTTGAATAAGTTGATATATTTATGAAAATTATAATTAGATTCAGTTATTGAAAATAAAGGATTCAGGCAGACAGTAATTATTTGGGGGGAAAATCAGGTTGGGGGGAAATCTTCCAAGCCCCAGTTAATGGACCACAAATAACAAACAAGAAGTACATTTAAAAATCTCAGGATAATAAAAGCAAAGATTTCTAATGGTCTTTGTGATAGTATTTAAATAAAAGCATAAAATATGATTAAGGCAATTAGATTTCTATTTTGTAGATTATTTTAGAATTATCAAGGGGACTCTTAGATCATGTGAAATGTTAAGAGTTGGGGTCTTAACAATAGTATGAGACCTGTCAGCTCAGAAAGTCCAAAACTGGAAATCTAGATGGACCACCAGAAGATTGGGGAGAAACCATCATTGACATTTTCAAATAATTACATTTAATTTGTAGGTGTTTGGGTTTTTTGAAGACCAGCTAGAACTGATTAATCATGGATTTTAGGTAGAGAGGGAATGATTGGCATAGGAGTTGTAAAGTCCTTGTTTGTTCTGGAGGAGGGAAAAATTATTGATCTATGTTAGATTTGTTAAGATTGTTGGAGTATCTAAGATAATAACTAAAAGAGTAGACATAGAGATTTTTTTAAGATTTTATTTATTTGTCAGAGAGAGAGAGTGAGCACAAGCAGGAGTGCTCTGCCAGGAGTGGCAGGCAGAGCAGGCAGAGGGAGAAGTAGGCTGCCCACTGAGCAGGGAGCCCGATGCGGGGCTCGATCCCAGGACCTTGGGATCATGACCTGAGCCGAAGGCAGATGCTTAACCGACTGAGCCACCCAGGCATCCCTAGACATAGAGATTTAAACTTTAAAAGTAGTAAGAGGAAGGTGGGGAAATTGAATGAAAAAAGGTGGGGGGGGGCGGGATCCTGATTCCAAAAGAAGGCACAACCCCAAGATCAAGAGTCTCACGCTCCACTGACTCAGCAAGCCCGGCGCTCCCAGGCTACGTTTTGTTTTTGTTTTTGTCGTTGTTGTTGTTTTGAAGATTTATTTATTGATTTGACAGAGTGCACTTGAATGCATGGGGGAGAGGCAGAGGGAGAGAGAATTTCAAGCAGACTCTGCGCTGAGCACAGAGCCTGATGTGGGGCTCTATATCACGACCTTGAGACCATGACCCGAAACCAAGAGTTGGATGCTCAACCAACAATGCCACCCAGGCCCCCCACCCAGACTACTTTTTTGACTACTGTTAGAGTAAAGTTAATCAATGACAGTAGGAAAACTAGGAAGCTTTCTTTTGTTAAAGATTTTTTTTTTTAAGATTTTATTTATTTTTTCAAGAGAGAGAGAGACAGCGAGAGGGGGAACACAAGTGGGGCAGAGGGAGAGGGAGAAGCAGGCTTCCCGCGGAGCAGGGAGCCCGATGCAGGGCTCGATCCCAGGACCCTAAGATCATGACCTGAGCTGAAGGCAGATGCTTAACGACTGAGCCACCCAGGCGCCCTCTTTTGTTAAAGATTTTATTTATTTATTTATTTGAGAGAGACAGCACACAAATTGGGGGTTGGGCAGAGGAGAGGGAGAAGCAGACAATATGGGGCTCAATCCCAGGACCCTGAGACCATGACCCAAGCCAAAGTCAGACACTCAACTGACTGAGCCACCCAGGCACCTGTAGAAAACTTTATGTCTAGAAATTCAAACTACTTCTAAACAACGCATAAGTCAATGAAAAATCACATTAAAATATCCAAAACTAAATAATAAAACCAAAATTTATAGGATAACACTAAAGAGATATTTAAAAGGAAATGTCTACAGTAAAAGAAAATGCAGTAGAAGAAAAGCTTAAAATTAGTGAACTAAACATCTCAATTAGACAAAATAATGGAGTGGGGGAAGCAAAGAAATTAGGGGAAAAAAGTATACACAAACCTGATGAAATTAAGGAGAAAGAAGACAAAACTATTAGAAATGAAAAAAGACATAGCTACAGATGCCATACTATTTAGGAGATAAGAAGTAATGAACATCTTTATGCCAATACATTTGAAAATTTAGGTGAAATGGAGAGTTCCTAGAAAAATACAACTTAAGAAAGGAAAAACCTTGAATAGTCTTAGAACTACTAAGTAAGTTTAATTACTGATTTTTAAAACATTGCCATCATAAAACCAAACCAAACTACTAGGCTTAGATTGCTTTACAGGCTGAGTGAGCACATAATTTCAGTTGTATACAAAATCTTCTGGGGAGGGGCACCTGGCTGGCTTAGTTGGTAGAGATTCTTGATCTGGGGGTCGTGAGTTTGAGCCCCAAGTTCGGGGCGTAGAGATTACTTAAACAAAAAAAGTAACCAAAACCCCCCAAAATCTTCTGGGGAAAAAAGGACAGCACTTGTCAGTTTATTTTATGAGGGTAGCCTAATTTTTTTTAAGATTTTATTTATTTATTTGTCAGAGAGAGAGAGAGTGCCCAAGCAGGGGGAGTGGCAGGCAGAGGGAGAAACAGACTCCCCAGTGAACAAGGAGCCTGATGTGAGACTCAATCCCAGGACCCTGGGGTCATGACCTGAGCTGAAGGCAGCCACTTAACTGACTGAGCCACCCACATATCACTAGCCTAACTTTTTAAATACAGCCAGACAGTTTGTAAGGAAAGGAAAATTGTAGGACATTTTCAGTTGTGAATATAAGTGCAGAAATACTGAACAAAATCATTAAGAAACGGAATTCATTAAATGCAGAAATGATAAAACTTCATGACGAAGATATGCAAGTTTGGATTAACATTAGAAATCAATATAACTTGGCCCACTGCATTATTAGGGTAACCATAGGCATAGATAAACGTATAGAAGGCCATGACCATATTTTCCAACAGAATGTAATAATTAGGAGGCCTCATGAAATAAAGGGAGAGCTAAAGATACTAGTTTTGCCATGGTCAGGACTGAAGGGAATGGTTTGTTTTGCTTTTAAAAGGTAGGAGACCAGTTGTAACCTTCCTGGCAGTAATGGGTAGGAACCAGAAGAGTTCAGAATTCTAGCACCCTGAAACCCGAATGAAATCAACGCAAAGACTAGAGTGTCCCTAACCCAGTAATATGTCAATTTATTTCTATCTCATGTATCTACTTGGAAAGTCAAGGTTGATTTTTTGTTTTTTAATTGCGTGGTGGTAATCAGAAAATAAAACGAACTTTAAGGGAATGTTCCTTAGACCAGGAAAAAAAAAGTTTAAAAGAAAAGGATTAACTGCAAAGACTCACTTTGCTTGGTTAGGTGATAGAGCTGTTAAATTTTGATGGGATTAAATTTTTTAAGTAAAATTAATTTTTAGGGGAGTGGGGATATAAGCTTCCAGTTATGGAATGAATAAGTCATGTGGATGAAAGGTTCAGTAAGGGAGTATCATAGTCAGTCGTATTGTAATAGCATATGGGAACAGATATAGTGAGCATAGCATAATGTATTGTTGCATCAGTCTGTTGCACACCTAAAACTAACGTAACACTGTCAATACACTTCAGTAAAAAATTTTTTTCACCCTTATTGACATATAATTAACAAAATTAAAATATTTGAAGTGTATATTATGATTTGATGCATGTATACATTTTGAAGGGATTCCTGCCATCAAGTTAATTAACAATACATCCCTTATCACCTCACTTTTTTTTTTAAGATTTTATTTTTAAGTAATCCCTATACCCAGTGTGGGGCTTGAACCCACAACCCTGAGATCAAGAGTTTAAGCTCCATTGATTGAGCCAGCCAGGTGCCCCATTACCTATTTATCTGTGTGTGTGTGTGTGTGTGTGTGTGTGTGTGTGTGTGAACATTTAAGTTCTGTTCTCTCAGCAAATTTTACAGTGTTATCTACTTTAGTCACCATGTTATACATTAGATCCTCAGACCTTATTCATCTCAAAGCTGAAAGTGTATACCCTTTTACCAACTTCTATTTCCCCTACCTCCAGCCTCTGGTAACTGTTTCTCTGCTGTGTTTCTATGAGTTTGACTTTTTTTTACATAAGTGATACCATGTAGTATTTATCTTTCTCTGTCTGGCTTATTCCACTTAACATAATGCCCTCCACATTCATCCCTGTTCTCACCAGTGTCAGAATTTCCTTCTTATGGCTGAAGAATATTCCATTACACACACACACACACACACACACACAGATTCAGTTGACCTTTGGGCAATCTTGAGCAATTCGAGGGTTAAGGGCACCAACCTCCCGCATAGTTAAAAATCCACCCAGGTGGCTCAGTTGGTTAAGCATCCAACTACTTTTTTTTTTTTTAGATTTATTTATTTGAGAGAGAGGGTAAGGGGAGAGGCAGAGGGAGAGGGAGAAAGAGAATACTCAAGCAGACTCCCCGCTGAGCATGGAGCCTAGTGCTCAATCCCAGGACCCCAAGATCATGACCTGAGCTGAGATCAGGAGTCAGACACTTAACTGACTGAGCCACCTGGGCACCCCAGCATCCAACTCTTAATTTTGGCTCAGGTCATGATCTCAGGGTTGTGTTGGGCTCTGCACTGAGCATGGAGCCTGCTTAAGATTCTCTCTTTCCCTCTCCCTTTGCCCCTCTCCCCACCCCCGCTCACTTGTGCATTCGTTCTCTCTCTTCAAAAAATAAAAAATAAATGAAAATCCACGTGTAACTTTTGACTCCCTAAAAACTTAACTACTAATAGCCTACTGTTAACTGGAAGCCTTACTGATAACATTAACAATTGATTAACACATATTTTGTTATGTTATGTGTATTTATTTTGTATGTTACATGTATTATATAATGTATTCTTACAATAAAGTAAGCTAGAGAAAAGAAAATGTTATTGAGAAAATCAAGCCAGGAGCCTTGCTCAGTCAGTAGAACATGCAACTCTTGATCTCAGGGTTGTGAGGTCAAGCCCCACATTGGGTGTAGAGCTTACTTAAAAAACAACCACCAAAAAATCAGAAAAAGAAAAAATCATAAGGAAAAGAAAATACATTTACAGTATTGTAAAAAGAATCACACATACGGGATGCCTGGGTGGCTCAGTCGGTTGGGCATCTGCCTTCCGCTCAGGTTGTGATTCCAGGGTCTTGGGATCGAGCCCCACATCGGGCTCCTTGCTCAGCCGGGAGCCTGCTTCTCCCTCTGCCTGCCACTCCCCCTGCTTGTGCTCTCTCTCTCTGACAAATAAATAAAATATTTTTTAAAAAATCACACATAAGTGGATCTGCACAGTTAAAACCCATGTTGTGCAAGGGTCAGCTGTATATGTATATACATCTTTATCCATTCATGTCTTTATTCATTTATCTGTTAATGGACATTCAGGTTTCTATATCTTGGCTATTACAAATAATGCTGCTGTGAACATGGAGTGCAGATAGCACTTTGATAACCCATTTTCGTTGTCTTTGCATATATACACAGCAATGGGGTAGTTCTGTTTTTAATTTTTTGAGGAACCTGTTGTTGTTTTCCATAGTAGTTGCACCAATTTATGTTCCCACCAGTAGTGCACCAGGATTCCCTTTTCTCCACGTTCTTGCCAACACTTGTTATCTCTCATATTTTTAATGATAGCCATTCTAACAGGTGTAAGGTGATACCTCATTGTGTTTTTGATTTGCATTTTTCTCATTATTAGTAATGTTGACCATTTGTATATTTTGTTTGGAAAAATATATATTTAGTTCCTCTGCCCATCTTTAAATCAGATTTTTTTTGCTTTTTTTTTTTTGGCTATTGAACTGTGATTTCTCTATATTTTTTGAATATTAACCTTTTATCAGATAATGTGATTTGTAAATATTTTTTCTCATTCCCTATGTTGCCTTTTCATTTTGTTGATGGTTTCCTTTCCTGTGCAGTTTTTAGATTGTTGTAATCTCATTTGTTTATTTTTGCTTTTCGTGTCAAATCCAAAAAATCATTTCCCAGACCGGTGTCATGGAGCTTACCTCTGTTTTCTTCTAGGAGTTTTATGGTTTCAGGTCTTAAATTTAAGTCGTTCATGTGTTTTGAGTTGATTTTTGTGTGTGGTGTAGGATAGGTGTCTATTTTCATTCTTTTGCATGTCGCTGTCCAGTTTTCCCAACACCGTTTATTGAAGAGACCTTTCCCTCTTGTGTATCTTACCCCCTTTGTCATAAATTAATTGATCATATATGTGTGGGTTTATTTCTGTGTTCACTTCTCTTCCGTTGATCTATGTCTGTTTTTATGTCAATACCATACAGTTTTATTACTGTAGCTTTGTAATATAGTTTGAAATCAGGAAGTATGATGCCTCCTGTGTTGTTCTCTCTAAAAAAAGAGGTTATTTGGGGGTCTTTTATGATTCCACACAGATTTTAGGGTTGTTTTTTCTTTTTCTGTGAAAAATGCTGTTGGGATTTTGATAGGGATTGCACTGAATCTGTACATTGCTTTGGGTAGTATGGACATTTTAACGATATTAATTCTTCCAGTCCATGAGCATGGAATATCTTTTTATTTGTGTCGTCTTCAGTTTCTTTCATCAGTATCTTATAGTTTTCAGTGTGCAGGCCTTCCACTTCCTTGGTTAAATTTATTGCTAAATATTTTATTGTTTTTGATGCAATTATAAATGGGATTATTTCCTTAATTTTCTTTCTGATAGTTGTTAGTATTAGAAGCACAATTTTTTATGTTGACTTTATATCCTGCACCTTTACTGAATTTATTCGTTGTATTTTCATTTATTTTTTAAAGATTTTATTTATTTATTTACTTATTTGAGAGAGTGGGGGGAGGGGCAGAGGAAGAGGGAAAGGGAAAGCTGACTCACTGCTGAGTGCGGAGCCTGACATGGAGCTTGATTTCAGGACGCTACGATCATGACCTGAGCCGAAATCAAGAGTCAGACATTTAGCCAACTGAGCCACCCAAGCACTCCTGTTTATTAGTTTTAACTGTTTTTGGGTGGAATCTTTAGGATTTTCTGTATATAATATCTCATTATGTTCAAATAGAGACACTTTTACTTCTTCCTTCGCAATTTGGATACCTCTCATTTCTTTTTCTTGCCTAATTGCTCTGGCTAGAATTTCCAGTACTGTGTTGAATAAAAGTGGAGCATGTCAGTATCCTTGTCTTGTTTTTGATCTTAGAGGAAAAGCTTTCAGTTTTTCACCATTATGATGTTAGCTGTGGGCTTGTCATATATGGCTTTATTATTTTGAAGTTTACCCCCCTCTATACCCAGTTTGTTGAAAGTTGTTATCAAGAATAGATGTTGAATTTTGTCAAGTGTTTTTTCTGCATCTGTTGAGATGATTATACGATTTTTGTCTTTCATTTTATTAATGTGTAGCACACTGATTGATTTGCAGATATTGAACCATCCTTGCATACCTGGAATAACTACCACTTGATCATAGTGCATGATCCTTTTAATGTACTGTTGAATTCTGTTTGCTAATATTTTGTTGGGGATTTTTTGGGGGGGTGGATTTTTACATCTATGTTTATCAGGGATATTGGCTTATAATTTTCTTGTAGTGTTGTCTGGCTTTGGGATCAGGGTAATGCTAGCTTTGTAAATGAATTTATAAGTGTTCCCTCGTATTTTTTTGGAAGAGTTTGAGAAAGATTTGTATCAGTTCTTCAGATATTTAGTAGAAATCACCCTTTTCACCATCTGATCCTGGAATTTTCTTTGTTTGGAGGTCTTTGATTACTGATTCAGTCTCCTTACTAGTAATTGTTCTGTTCACATTTTCTATTTCTTCATGATTCATTCTTGGTAGCATGTATGTTTTTAGGAATTTATCCATTTCTTCTATTTTGTTCACTTTGTTGGCATATAATTGTTCATAGTTTTTTTCTTAAACATTTTACTTATTTATTTTTAAGATTTTATTTTTCAGTAATCTCTACACCCAGTGTGGGGCTCAAACTCACAACCCTGGGATAGAGAGTCACATGCTCTACTGACTGAATCAGCCGTGTGCCCCTATAATTGTTCATAGTTTTATGATCCTTTGTATTTGTGTGGTGTTAGTTGTAATGTGTTCTCTTTATTTATAATTTTATTATTTGGGTCCTTTCTCTTTTTTTCCTTGTTAAGTCAAGGCAAAGGTTTGTGTATTTTGTTTATCTTTTTAACAAAACAGCTCTTTAGTTTCTTAAATCTTTTGTCTTTTTGTCTCTATTTCATTTTTTTTCACTCTCATCTTTGTTAAATTTCCTTTTTTCTACGAATTTTGGGCTTAGTTTGTTCTTTTTCTAGTTCCTTGTGCTGTAAAGTTAGATTGAGATCTTTCTTAATGTAGGCATTTATTGCTGTAAATTTCCTTCTTAAAACCTTTTGCTGCATCCCTTAAGTTTTGGTATGTTGTATTCCCATTTTCACTTATTCTGTTTTTCATTTTCACTTAAGATATTTTTTTCTCTTTGATTTCATCTTTGACTCATTGGTTGTTTAGTAGTGTGTTGTTTAATCTTCACATACTTGTGAATTCCCAGTTTTCTTGTAACTGATTTTTAATCTTATTTCAAGTAGGAGTTAATTGTTAGGTTTTTGAAGGAAAAAAGAATTCAAGTTTCTTTCTTTTTTCTACTTTAGGTACATACCTCCTGATAAGAGAGAAGAAAATGACCAATCAACCCACAAGTGGATGGTATATGTCCGAGGGTCTCGTAGAGAACCCAGCATTAATCATTTTGTCAAGAAAGTTTGGTTCTTTCTTCATCCCAGCTATAAACCAAATGACCTTGTGGAAGTTAGGTAAGCACAGTTGAGTTATTTAATTTAAGAAGTACAGATTTACTGAAGTGGAAAAAGAGTGATTTAACTTGACACCATTCCCTTTAATTATTATATTATTAATAATTTACTTAGCTTTGGCTCTTAGAGTTTTAAGTGTGTTTCCCTCTTGCAGATTATTGTCTCCCTGAAAAGGCAGTATTCCTCCTGTCAGAATTATATTAGTGGATTTTGCTCCCCCTGGAAATAGCTGAATTTATTTATATAGATACAGATAAATATAAAAGTGTTCCTGTTTTTATGACTATCAGAATGTAGCAGAATTAAACATGGGAGTCTAACATTACAGAAATATTTAATATTGAAAGTTCCTCATGATCTCATCCTCTCAGAAGTAACCCCAGTGATATTTTTCCTACATGTATTAACCTTGTTATAGTTGTTTGTTGTTGTACAAAGATGGAATTTTATATATATATGTATATATATATATAATTCTGAAATTTGTTTCATTTAGGTGTATTCTTTTTAAAAAAAATTTATTTTAAAGATTTCTTTATTTTTACTTTAGAGAGAGAGCGAGAGCATGTGTGAGCGGGGGGGAGGGGCAGAGGGAGAGAGAGAATCCCTAAGCACATTCCCCACTGAGCGTGGAGCCCAATGTGGAGCTTGACCCCAAGACCCTGAGACCATAACCTGAGCCAAAATCAAGAGTCAGATGCTTAACCAACTGAGCCACCCAGGCACCCCTATTTTATTTATTTATTTAAGAGAGAGAGGGATTGCGTGTGCCTGAGAGTGGGGGGAGGGGCAGAGGGAGAGCATCTCAAGCCGACTCCACACTGAGCATGGATCTCAATGCAGGGCTCTATCTCACGACTGATGAGATCATGACCTGTGCCACCCAGGCTCCCCTTTAAGTGTATTCTTTACATCTTTATATGATATTACATATTACATATTCATAGTGTGAATGTATTGTAGAAGTGGTTTTGGTTTATTATCAGTGAAATTTCCTATATCCTCAGCTCTCTTTAGAATGTTCCCTCCAGGTTGCCTGGGTGGCTCAGTTGGTTGAGCGACTGCCTTCGGCTCAGGTCATGATCCTGGAGTCCCGGGATCGAGTCCCACATCGGGCTCCCTGCTCAGCGGGGAGTCTGCTTCTCCCTCTGACCCTCTTCCCTCTCGTGCTCTCTCTCTCTCATTCTCTCTCTCTCAAATAAATAAATAAAAAATAAATAAAAAAAAAATAGAATGTTCCCTCCACTCCTGACTCCTAAATAAAACATGGCTGTCTTCTGAGAACACTGCTTTTGAGAACAGCTTTCAAGTGGCAGCCGATTTTTCTCTCACACCATGTGCCAGTGGGCCTGGGGATGGGTGTGTCTTCCTTGCACATATTTGTGGCTTCTAGACCATCTTTTCCCTTTTTCTGCCTAAAAACCCTCAGCTCTTTTGGGGCATTGTATGATCCTCCCAGTATTCTGTGGTTTTTCCTTCTTGGTCATTGATACATTTCACCTTCTATGAGGAATCCAGAAATAAAAAAGTCTGTTTGGGGGAGGCAATCCTTTTTTTGTGTGAAATACATGTATCTTTTTGAAGTTTAACATTTCCATAGGTGATGTCTGTTGGTAAGCCTTAGGTTACTTTTTTGCTTCCAAAAATATGGTTAGGGAAATCTTTCCCTTTTAAAAGCATTGTTCCTTTTTCCTGGCCTTTATGCTATTTGTCTGTTTTCTCTGGCAGCCATCCTTCCTGTTCATTCACTAGAGTTTAGCCAATGTACATAAATTGAGCACAGCTGATTTGCTATATCCAAGAGAAATCCAACATACAGATAGTATAATTGACGCATATTGCAAAATGAATTTAGGCTATCTACTTTATTGGAATTTAAATGACCAAACATGTCATCAATAGAACTTTAATTATTCTTCTAAAGTTCACCATGCCTCTAGGCCCCACTGCATCCCTTTTCAAACTGCTGTCTCAATTCGACCTTCTCATTTGACCCTAAGCCTGTCTTTTAATTTCTGTCTGAACCTATACCAGCATCATGGCTACTTCTCTTGCTAACTCAGTCATTGTTCAACTGGTTTCTCCCATCCAGGGCACTCTAGTTTTCTTTGCTTTCTCTTCTCTCTGGTTTATAACATAGCTATTGCTTTTTCACCTTTCCAGGCTACTCTCATACTCAGGGATTTTTCCTATCTTGAGCCCTCCTGGTAGCCTCTGGCTCTGTTCTTGATAATTCAGATCTGTTGTTAGATTCTTCTCAGGTTGTGTTCTTGGAGTTTGTCTTTACTGAATTCATGTCTCCTCTTAGTTTTGCAAAAACACATCCCCCTGAGTGTTCCTTCCTCCTTGCCATCTTGGCATCTTCTCTCATTTCAGTAATTCCAAACCACTGATTCATAATGAACATTTTCATTTTAATGTATTCTCTCTCCCCCATTAACTTAAACCATATTATTTTTGAGTACATGACGTTCTCTCAGTTAAATTTAAAATGTTTTTATTATGGAAAATTCCAAACATACTCAGAAGCAGAGTATCTTGAACCCTCCTATACCAAATCATTAACAATTTGCTAGTCTTTTTTTCATCAACTTTCCTTTTTCTTCCCTTCACAAATTATGTTTTGACTGAAAATCCTCTAGTCCAATTAGCATTCACATACATTCCTCCTCTATCCACTAAAATCATAGTCACTGTTTGGTGAAGATCGTATGGTAAACATAGTTCTTTAAGTCCTGTTAGCGGATAGTTTCAAATAAATTGTCACTTTCAGATTGAGCATTTGTGATTTATTCTATTTTTGCCAGAGTAGAGGAATAAATATGAGTGTCTGGGGTAGGAAACATATACCTCACAGCCTGTGTCTGTCAAGTAGCAGTCAAGGATTCTGGCTTCTAATATGTAACATCCATCAAATCACCTTCCCTGCCTATGGAAATGATGATGTTGGATTATATACTATAAGTCTCTTAGCTCTAAGTATTCAGTGATTGAAAGTTTAATGTAGGTTTGAGTTGAATTTTTCTTTTAGCATTTCAGAAAAATTCAGTGTGTCGATTGAGCTTCAGATGAGAAAAATGTAAATTATTGTCAGAGGCTGTGAATTTCTGACTTACCCAGTAGGAGAAGACATTTCCTCTCTAGAATGAGAATGTGACTCTGGCTTAATGTGTTAATATATGCTTTTCCCTAGAGAGCCTCCTTTTCATCTAACCAGAAGAGGCTGGGGTGAGTTTCCTGTCAGAGTTCAAGTTCATTTTAAGGACAGCCAGAACAAGCGGATAGATATCATACATAATCTGAAGGTATTGTAACAACACGTTGCTCCCCCGAAATGATGTACCTCTTTTTATCTGGTTACTTAAAGCCGTTGGTTAGGCCCTTTGAGGGAAGTGGCCAAGGACAGTGGAAGCAGGACTAATCTTTTTGATTGTGTTATGCAGACTGCTACAGCACTCCTTTGTTCTCTGAAGGCTGGGGAAGGGTTGCGTTATAGCAGAATGTATATTCTTTAAAAAGATGAACTGGTCAGATTATCAGAAGACTTGAATCTCTGATCAAAGCTCACTGTTACTGTGTTACCTGAGACTAAGTGACTGAGATCTTAAAAACAAAATCTATTTACTTTTCTGTAAAATGAGGCAAATAATAAGCCTTGTCTATTTATCTCATAAGGATATAGATACGTTTATCTTGTAAGGATAAAGACAGAAATGAACATGTTTTAGGAAATTGAAAGTCCTGTACAAAGTTGTAATTCTTTTGTATTTTAAGAAATTCTTCATTGAGATATCCCCATGTTTATTATGTAGCCATTATATTTTATGAAGTGTCTTCTATACATGTGGAAAAACTACCAATTATAGTAAGTGAAAAGCACAGAGTACAAAACTGTATGTTATAGTATGAAATCAACTGTGATTTTAAATAGGTGGAAAAAACAAAAGAAATATACCAAAATTTTGGAGTAATTGAAGTAATGACATTGTGGGCAATTTCTCTTGCCCTTACTATCTTTTTTTTTTTCTTCTAATTTTATATAATAAACATGTTTAACTTTTATAATTGAAAGGCCGTTTTTAAAATGTTTTCCTAGTTCCTCTCTATATAGTTTCATGTAGATTTTCTCTACATAAGATAAATTTCTAATATTAAACTTACCCCAAAACACTCTTACTTTGTGGTTTACCACATTGTTCCCGTTAATGGCTCACAAAATTGAACTCAGTGAATATCAGTACATCTGCAGAATTCCCATTTTGTTCCTTTTGTTCTACCAATACAACCTTTTCAATTTTAAGGCTGAAATTTGCCCTCCATTGGTGATAGCACTGCTTAACTTCATGTTGCAGTTATTTTTTTAGAGATTACTCTAAGACTAGATTGCTTTCTGACCTCAGAAAAGAACTGGAACAAAATAAAGAATATGCATGGGCGCCTGGGTGGCTCAGTTGGTTAAGCGACTGCCTTCTGCTCAGGTCATGATCCCGGAGTCCTGCGATCGAGTCCCACATTGGGCCCCCTGCTCAGCAGGGAGTCTCCTTCTCCCTCTGACCCTACCCGCTTTTGGGCTCTCTCTCTCACTCTCGTTCTCTCTCAGATAAATAAATAAAATCTTTAAAAAAAATAAAATAAAGAATATATAGCCACTTTGTTCAGAGGGGCAGGATATGGTCCCACTTAATTAGAGGAAGGTCTAAAATAGTTTGCTTTCCTTTTATCTTATTTTAAGCATTGCACATACCATCTTATATCACACTGGGCCCAGCCCTAATTTCTAAAATAAAAGGAATTGTTTACATAGTTCTCATACTATTATATTGTCTACATCACTTAGAGTTCCTGGTGGAGTATTGAGACACAGTTTATTATGTTTTATTTTTTTATTTTTAAAAGTTTATTTATTTAAGCAATCTCTGCATCCAATGTGGGGCTCAAACTCATGATTTTGAGATCGAGAGCTGCATGCTCTACTGACTGAGCCCACCAGGCGCCCCAGAGGCACACTGTTTTAAAAATGACAGTATTTAAACTTTCTTATCAGCTTTTCTGGAAAACTTAATTTTTACTGTTTGTTATGTATTGATTTGCCTTGAGGCCTTAAACACCTGTGTTGTACTTGTATGATCTTTGTTTGTACTGGAGTATTCTTTTGCCTGTTATTTCTGTGTTAACTCACAGAGCCATCTTGGATTCTTGCCTCTTTGTTCTAAATATTTGTTCAGTTACTATTATTCTTTCTTCATCATCTTTCCTACCCTTTGCCTTTCCCACTCTTGCCTAGACTATTATTCTACTGTCTCCTGATTAGCTTCTTTCCTTCTAATCTGTCTCCTTTACCCTTAGTCCATGCTGCACACCACCATCCAATTAGTATTCCTGAAATAGGAGAACCATTATGCTATTCCTTCTGAGAAACCTTCATTGAATTCCCTCCACTCAAGTTCAGACTTCCTGCCTACTCTTCGGGGCTTTTCACATTTTGACTGAACACACTTCCCCTAAATTATCTCACACTAGTCCCCTGCATGGATATACTACTCCAGCCAGGTCAGTTATTCATGTCCCAGAAGTGCCTTGGGCCTTCTTCTCTTGTGTCTTTTTTTTATGCTCTTGCCCTCCTAGAATGCCTGTTTGAATTCTTTCCATTCTTAAAGTTCAAGTTCCTTTGTACTTTTCCTAACTATTTAAGCCCATAGTGACCTCTTGGTATACTGGAATGCTGAAATACTTGATCTATATTTGATACTGTATAATTACATTAAATACTAAATACTCAAGTGTTAGAAGTATGTACAATTTAAAGTTCCCAGAATGTATGCAATTCCCACATTCTGCATTCCTGATCAGCTGTCAACCATAGAGCACAGTAACTCCCAAAACAATCCATTTATCCGTTTAGTAAATAAACTTTTGGTAAGTTCTTTCATAAATTTAACTAAAACTGTGCTTTTTTTTTAACCTTGATTTTATTTGTGCTCATTTGACTTCTGGAGTAGCACAGGACAGGACTTTGTTTTGTTTTATAAGAACCCTAAAAATGTTTAATGACAGCCTCATGTCTCTCCTTAAATCATCTCCAGGCAGAACCTATTCTTGTAAAATTCCTTGTGTGTTGTGCTTTCTAGTTCCTCTTGCTGTTTTGATAACAGTTCTATTTTATCAATGTCTCTCTTAGAGTGTGGTCCCAAGAATGATAAATAAGCCAGTGCACATTACGGAGAGACTATTATTTCCATGCTCTGAAGAATATGAAAATGGATATAGCCTAAAATTAGTAGTCATACTGTTGGCTAAGATTTAAGTATTAAAACTAGATCTCTTCCGTGGAACTAGCATGAATCCACCCTGCATTGTCTTTCTTTTGGGAAACTAGATCTCATGACCGAGTTGTCATGTCTGTGTTGGCTGCTAAGGAACTCAGCCTGACTTGAAATCTACTTTTTGCAAGTCTTAGAGCTTTCTATTTACTGATTAGTAAATCATCTTTCCTTTTTACCCAACTGAATAGTTTTTCCCTGTCGATCTTACTCTGTAATGTTTATTTCTTTTCAAAAGACTTATTTATTTTTGAGAGAGTGGGAGGGGGGAGGGAGCATGAGCTGGTGGGGGAGGGGAGAGGGACAGTGATAGAGAACCTCAAGCAGACTCCCTGCTGAGGTAGGAGCCAAACTCAAGCTTGATCTCAAGACCCTGAGATCATGACCTGAACCAAACCAAGAGTCCTTTGCTTAACCAGCTGAGCCGCCCAGGTGCCCCCGTGTAATGTTTATATTGGTAAGCTCCACAGATCCTTTTTTTTTTTTTTTTTGCAGAATGCTTTATTGCTTCAAACAAAGCAAAAATGCTGTCAAATAAATTGTTTATGCTAAACAAAAACTTTTTTTGATTTTCATTTTATTTTTATTGAAATATAGTTGACCTATCGTGTTATACTAGTTACAGGTATACAACATAGTGATTTAACAATTCTATACATTATGCAGTGCTCTACTCGGTAAGTGTAGTCACCATACAAAGTTACTACAGTATTATCGACTATATTCCCTATGCTGTACTTGTCATCCCTGTGACTTATTTATTATATAACTGGAAGTTTGTACCTCTTAATCCCCTTCACTTATTTTGCCCAACACCCTAGCCCTGTCTTCTCTGGCGACTACCAGTTCTGTGTGTTTATAGGTCTGTTTCTAGTTTTTGTTTGTTTGTTCATTTGTCTTGTTCCTTAGATTCTATATATAAGAATTTGTCTTTTTCTGACTGAATTCACTTAGCACAATAGCCTCTAGGTCCATCCATGTTGTTGCATATGGCAAGATTTCATTCTTTTTTTGGCTGAGTAATATTCTGTATTTGTGTGTGTGTATGTGTATATACAGACCTTTTTTTTTAAGTGATAGAATATAAATAAAATATAGGAATAAGAACAGCCTCTTTGTAAGTGTAAATTTTGTTTATATTATTAACATTTGCTCAGGTTATACTCCTTTCTGTCCTCTAAAATAAATCATCCATGATGCTAATACATTGGAAGTGATTATTAGCATTGCCTATATTGCTTAAATTTTCGTTCATTTTTTTCAAAAATGTTTAGTAAATATACTTTAAGTATATAATTGTGTCATCACACTGTGTATATTTTTATAGCCAATCTCTTTATTTATTTTTAAAAGATTTTATTTATTTGAGCGGGAGAGAGAGAGAGCAAGAGCACAAGAGCAGGGAGAGGGAGAAGCAGGCTCCCCACTGGGCGGGGAGCCCAACACGGGACTTGAATCTAGGACCCTGAGATCATGACCTCAGCTGAAGGCAGACGCTCAACCGACTGAGCCTCCCAGGCAGACGTCCCATTCTCTTTAAAAAAAAAAAAAGATTAAAAAAAATTTTTTACTTAATTGGTTTTTGTTTTGTTTGAGAGGGTGAGAGAGAATCTTCAGCAGGCTACATGCTCAGCGTGGAGCCTGACTGGAGGCTCGATCTCACAACTCTGAGATTATGACCTGAGCCAAAATCAAGAGTCAGGCATTTAAATGACCAAACCACCCATGTGCCCCTAAAAAAAAATGATTTTATTTTTTAAGTAATCTCTCCACCCTACATGGGGCTAACACCTACAACCCCAAGATCAAGAGTCACATGTTCTAGCGACCGAGCCAGCCAGGCCACCCCCATAGCCTGTCTTTTAAAATATTTTTTACATCATCTTTGTAAACATCTAAGTGGCTATAAGTGGCTATGTAATACTTTACAAATGATGGTTCAAGATTTACTTAAGGGCTGCCTGGGTGGCTCAGTTGGCTAAATGTCTGCTCAGGCCATGATCTCAGGGTCCTGGGATCAAGCTCCACATCGGGCTCTCTGCTCAGCAGGGAGTCTGCCTCTCCCTCTGTGCTCTGCCTCTCTCTCAAATAAGTAAATAAAATTTTTTTTTTTTTTTAAGATTTTATTTATTTATTTGACAGAGAGAGACACAGCGAGAAAGGGAACACAAGCAGGGGGAGTGGGAGAGGGAGAAGCAGGCTTTCCCACCAAGCAGGGAGCCCGATGTGGGGCTCCATCCCAGGACCCTGGGATCATGACCTGAGCTGAAGGCAGATACTTAATGACTAAGGCAGCCCTAAATAAAATCTTAAAAAAAAAAAAAATTTACTTAAGCATTTCTCTATTACTGGATGTTCATGTTTTCAGTTTGTGGTTGTAAATAATGCTGTAGTAAATATCTTTTTGTGTAAAACTTCCTCCATTTTTAGATTGTTCTTAGAATGTTTTTAGAAGTGTATAGTTTATATTAAAAGTACAATACCTATATGTTTGAAGTTGTTTTTATTAATTTTATTCATTCCACCCCAATTAAGAGGGTTTTTATTGAAGTGATTGATAGTTTATATTATGAAAAAGTAGATTCTATGTTATGAAGACTTGTGGTGAAAGGGGTTTTAGATGAGATTGTATCCTAAGATTTATAAGTAAGCTTATAAGTAAGTGAAACTTTACACTCTTCTTTTGTCTTTCAATAGCTGGATAGAACTTACACTGGCTTGCAGACTCTTGGAGCAGAGACGGTAGGTTTTTTCCTACAGTATTATTTGGGAATAAGGTAGAATGGAAATTGATCTTCATTTTTAATTAGGAAAAATGAGTGCTTAATTTTTTAAAAAGTTTGTCTTCCCCTTTTTAATTTAAAAAAATGATAAACAATTTACCATTTTAACAATTTTTAATTGTGCAATTAGGAAGTATTAAATATATTCACATTTTTTGTGCATCTATTGCTACCATCCATCCCCCGAACTCTTTCTCATCTTGGAAAATTGAAATAGTACCCATTTACAACTTCCATTCCCCTCTCCCTTCAGCCCCTGGCAACCACCCTTCTACTTTCTGTCTCTATGAATTTTTGACTAGGTACCATATAAGTGGAATTATACAGTGTGTTTTTTTTATTATTATTGGTATATTTTACTTATCATAATGTTCTCAAGGTTCATCCATGTTGTAGCATGCATCAGAACTTCTTAAAAAAGGCTGAATAATACTCCATTGTGTGTCTATACCACATTTTGTTTATTTATCTCTGTTAATGAGCACTTGAGTTGCTTTCATCTTTTGGCTCTGTGAATAATCCTGCTAAGAACATGGATGTACAGGTATCTGAGTCTGTGTTTTCAGTTCTTTTGGGTATATACCCAAGAAAGTGGAATTGCTGGATCATAGAGTACCTCTATTTTTTCTTTTTCTTTTTTAAGTAATCTCTACATCCAACATGGGACTCGAACCCACAACCCCAAGATCAGGAGTCACACGTTCCACCAACTAAGCCAGCCAGGTGCCCCATGGTAGCTCTATTTTTAATTTTTGAAGGACTGCCACACTACTTACACAGCAGCTGCACCATTTTACATTCCTGCGAACAGTGCACAAGAGTTCGTTTCTCCACATCTTTGTCAACACTTACTGTTTTCTATTTTTTTTGATAGTAGCCAAACTAATGAGTGTGTGAGGTGGTAAATTTCATTGTGGTTTTGGTTTGCATTTCCCTAATGATTATTGATGTTGAGTATCTTTTCATCTTTTTATTGGCTGTGTGTGAATCTTCTTTGGAGAAACGTCTAGTCAAATCCTTTGCCCATTGTGAATCATGTGTTTGGGTTTTTGTTGAGTTTTAGGAGTTCTCTTTACATTCTTGATATGCATCTCTTATCAGATCATTCGTGGGTTGCCTTTTCACTCTGCTGATTGTGTCCTTTGATACATAGATGTTTTTAATTTTGATGTAGTCCAATTTGTCTATTTTTTCTTTGGTTGCCTGTGCTTTTAGTGTCATCCAAGAAATCATTGCCAGATTCACTCTCATGAAGCTTTGCCCTATATTTCCTTCTAAGAGTTTTATTGTTTTAGGTCTTATGCTTGGGTCTTTGATCCATTTTGAGTTAATTTTTGTAAATAGTGTGAGGTAAAGATCCACCTTCATTCTGTTGCATGTGGATTTGCAGTTTTCCCAGCACCATTTGTTGAAAAGACTGTGCTTTTCCCAGTGGTCTTGGCACCCTTGTCAAAAATAATTTGACCATATATATGAGGGGGCATTTTATTCCAGTGGTCTGTATGTCTTCTTGATGCCAGTACCACACTGTTTTGATTACTATAGTTTTGTAATAATCAGTTTTGAAGTCAGGAAATGAGACCTCCAACTTTGTTTTCCTTCCCCATACACCTCCTCCCACTTTTTTTTTTTTTTTCATGATAAATCAGCAATAGCCATTAGGTGAGAATTAGCTAGTTAAACCCTATCTTGTTTAGAGAAGTGTGCTGTGTTGTATCAAAAGATATTTATTGAACGTATACCGTATACTAGACACTGGTTCTGGTACTGGGGATACAGAGATGAATAAGGTAGCTACTGCTTTTAAGGAGTTATCTTCTTGGTTGTGTTGAAAATGGGGAGAAAGTATATAGTAAACAAAAGCAAATGAGATAATTTCACTTAAAATAAGTGCTATAAAGAAGAGAGTTGCTGGGGGACAAGGGGGTTACTTTAGGTTGGTTAGAGAAGGCATCTCTGAGAAGGTGACATTCGATTGAGACCTAATGATGAGAAAGAGACAGTTATGCAAAGATTTGGGGTGGGAGTAGTGTTCTAAGGCATAGAAACAGCAAATGGAAAGGCCCCAATTATATGATTGGTTTCACTGAGTTATCTGTTAAACCAAACTATATTCTGGGATAAATCCTTTAGTTCTTAGATTGAAATTACCTTTGAAGTATGATTAGAAATCATCTGTCACGTCTCTTAGAGCACCATGTTCTTGGACAGGTTTGGGGGTTTCTGTGACATTGATCATGGATTCATGAGCCCAATTGTTGCCTGATTGTGTAGGTAGTGGATGTTGAGCTTCACCGACATTCTCTTGGAGAAGACTCCGTTTATCCTCAGTCCGCCGAGTCAGACATCTCTGATGCCCCACCATCATTGCCTTTGACCATTCCAGCCCCAGTGAAAGCTTCCTCACCGATAAAGCAGTCACATGAGCCGGTACCTGATACATGTGTGGAGAAAGGTAATATATTTTTCCTTGTATGGAAATGAATTTTTCCTTGTACAGAGGAGTCACTCTCTGGGGCATTCCTTTCTCTCATTTGTGTAATATGATTTTGAACTGCTGCCTATAGACATTTAAGAGTGTATGGAAAATAAATTTTCCATTAGTAGGCATGCTGCCTCTACTATATAGTCCAGTTATGAAAATAGCCAAATCTTTATTCTTCTCAGAAAATATTTTTCATGAAGTTCTACTGATATTTTATAGAACATTAAACTCACAAAAAGGCATTAAGTGTTTATTTTTTTGATGATTATATTGGTTTCTTCTAATATGTTACAGGAAGACTTTTTGGTTTGGTCCCTAGTTGTGTGAACAAGAAACTGAATGTAAAGTGTCTAATCTTATTTAAAATACAATATAACAACTGACACCACAGAAATACAAAGAATTACAAGAATATTATGAAAAATTATATGCCAACAAATTGGACAACCTAGACAAAATGGATAAATTCCTGAAAACATGTATCTTCCCAAAACTGAATCAGGAAGAAATAGAAAATTTGAACAGACTGATTACCAGCAATGAAAATGAATCAGTACCAAACCTCCTGGGGCGCCCGGGTGGCTCAGTTGGTTGAGCATCCAACTCTTTGGTTTTGGCTTAAGTTGTGATCTCAGGGTCATGGGATCAAGCCCCACATCAGGCACCGTGCTCAGCAGGGAGTCTGCTTGAGATTCTCTCTCTCCCTCTACCGCTCCCCCTGCTTGCATGCATGCATGCTCACAATCTCTCTCTAAAATAAATAAATAAATCTAAAAACAAAAACAAAAAAACCTCCCAACAAACAAAAGTCCAGGACCAGATGGCTTCATAGGTGGAATTCTGCCAAACATTGAAAGAAGAGTTAATACCTATTCTTCTCAAATTATTCTAAAAAATAGAAGAGGAAGGAAAGCTTCCTAATTCATTCTATGAGGCCAGTGTTACCCTGATATTGAAACCAGATAAACATACTACAGGCCAATATCTCTGATGAACATAGATGCAGAAATCCTCAACAAAATAGTAGCTAACTGAATCCAACAATAAATTTTTAAAAAATCATTCACCATGATCAAATGGGATTTATTCCTGGGAGGCAAGGATGGTTCAGTATTAAAAAATCAATCAGTGTGATAGGTCACATCAATAACAGAATGTATAAAAGCCATATGATCATTTCAATAGATGCAGAAAAAGCATTTGACAAAGTATACCATTTCTGATAAAAACCTTCAACAAAGTAGGTTTAAAGGAATGTACTTTGACATAATAAAGGCTATATATGAAAAACTCACAGCTAACATCATACTAGTTCCCCTAAGGTCAAGAACAAGACAGGGATGTCCACTCTCACCACTTCATCAACATAATACTGGAAGTCCCAGCCATAGCAGTTAGACAAGAAAAAGAAATAAAAAGCATCCAAATTGGTAAGGAGGAAGTAAAACTGTCACTGTTCTCAGATAACATGATACTATATATAGAAAAATCTAAAGACTCCACCAAAAAAATTACTAGAATTGATAAATGAATTTAGTAAGGTCACAGGATACAAAAATCAGTGTACAGAAATCTGTTGCATTTCTATACACTAATAAGCAGCAGAAAGAGAAATTAAGAAAATCGCATTTACAGTTGCACCAAAAAGAATCAAATACCTAGGAGTAAACTCAATCAAGGAAGTGAAAGACTTATACTCTGAAAACTATAAAACACTGAAAGAAATTGAAGGTGACACAAGCAAATGGTAAAATATTCCATACTCATGGATTGGAAGAAAAATATTGTTAACATGTCCAGGCTACTCAAAGCAATCTACAGATTTAATGCAGTCCCTGCCAAAATAGCAACAGCATTTTTCACAGACTAGAACAAATGATCTTAAAATTTGTATGGAACCACAAAAGACCCTAAGGGGCACCAGGTGGTGCAGTCGGTTGAGCATCTAACTCTTGGTTTCAGGTCGTGGTCTCAGGGTTGTTGGATCAAGCCCTGCGTCAGGCTCCAGGCTCAGCAGGGTCTGCTTGGGATTCTCTCTCCCTCTCCTGTCCCTCCTGCTCTCTCTCTAAAATAAAGATAAATTCTCTCTCTTTTTTTTTTAAGACAACTTTATTTATTTTAGAGGAACTGTGTGTGAATGTGAGTAGGGGGAGAGGCAGAGGGAAAGAGAGAATCTCAAGCAGACTCCTCGCTGAACATGGAGCCTGATGTGGAACTCCATCCCATGACCCTGAGATGATGATCTGAGCCAAAATCAAGAGTCAGATGCTTAACTGAGTGAGCCACCTGGCACTCCATAAATAAGATTAATCTTAAAAAAAAAAAAAAATCCTATATAGCCAAAGTCTTGAAAGAGAATAATAAAACTGGAGGTATCACAATCCCAGATTTCAAGATATACTACAAAGCTGGAGTAATCAAAACAGTATGGTACTGGTACCAAAAAAAAGACACGTAGATCAATGGAACAGAATAGAAAACCCAAAAATAAACCCATGCTTATATGGTCATTTCATCTTTGACAAAGGAGGCAAGAATATGCAATGGGAAGAAGTCTGTTCAACAAATGGTGTTGGGAAAACAGAACAGCAACATGCAAAAGTATGAAACTAGGCCACTTTTTTATACCACACACAAAAATAAACTTAAAATGGGTTAAGGATCTAAATGTTGCACGTTCTTTTTTTTTTTTTAAAGATTTTATTTATTTATTTGAGAGAGAGAGAATGAGAGATAGAGAGCATGAGAGGGAAGAGGGTCAGAGGGAGAAGCAGACTCCCCGCTGAGCAGGGAGCCCGATGTGGGACTCGATCCCGGGACTCCAGGATCATGACCTGAGGCGAAGGCAGTCGCTCAACCAACTGAGCCACCCAGGCGCCCCAGGATCTAAATGTGAGACCTGAACCATAAAAATCCTAGAAGAGATTCCAGGCAATAATTTCTGTGACATTGACAGTAGCAACACTTTTCTAGATATGTCTCCCAAGGCAAGGGAAACAAAAACAAAAACTCTTGGGACTACATCAAAATAAAAAGCTTCTGCACAGGAAAGGAAACAATCAACAAAACTAAAAGATAGTCTACTGAATGGGGGAAGATATTTGCGAATGACATATCCAAAATATATGAAGAACTTCTACAACTCAACACCAAAAAACAAATAATCCAATTTAAAAATAGGCAGAAGACATGAACAGACATTCCTCTAAAGAAGACATACAGATGGCCAACAGATGCATGAAAAGTTGCTCAGTATCACCCATCATTAGGGAAATGCAAATCAGAACCACAATGAGATACCACCTCACACCTGTCAAAATGGCTAAAATCAGAAACACAAGAAAGAGCAAGTGTTGGCGAGGATGTGGAGAAAAGGGAACCCTCATGTACTGTGGGTGGGAATGCAAACTGGTGCAGCCACTGTGGAACACAGTGTGCAGATACCTCAAAAAATTAAAAATTGAAGTATTATGTGTATGATACAGTAATTCCACTACTGGGTATTTACTCAAAGAATACAAAAACATGAATTCGAAAAGATACATGCACCCCTGTGTTTATTGCAGCATTATTTACAATAGCCAAATTATGGAAGCAACCCAAGTGTCCGTTGACAGATGAATGGATAAAGAAGAGGTGGTGTGTATGTATATACATACACACACACACACACACACACACACACACTGGAGTATTAGCCATGAAAAGAATGAATCTTGCCATTTGCAGCAACAAGGATGGATCTAGAGGGTATAATTCTAAGTGAAATAAATCAGAGAAAGACAAATACCATATGATTTTACTCATATGTGGAGTTTACAAAACTAACAAAAAAAGGAGACCAACAACAACAACAAAAAACCAGACTCTTAACTATAGAGAATAAACTGATGGTTACCAAAGCGGAGGTGGGTGGGGGAATGGGTGAAACAGGTGATGGGGATTAAGGAGGGCACTTGTGATGAGCACCGGGTATTGTATGGAGGTGCTGAATCACTGTATTATACACCTGAAACTAATGTAACACTATATGTTAACTGTACTGGAATTAAGAATACAATATAAGGGGCGCCTGGGTGGCTCAGTCTGTTAAGCATCCCACTCTTGATCTCAGCTCAGGTCTTGATCTCAGTGTCCTGGGATTGAACCCTTTGTTGGGCTCCACGCCAAGCATGGAGCCTACTTTAAAAAAAACCCAACAAAACAAAAAAACCAATAAAGATCCATCATCAGGGCACCTGGGGGGCTCAGTCGGTTAAGTATCCTGCTCTTGAGTTCTGCTCCGCTCATAATTTTAGAGTCCTGGGATTGAGCCCTGCATCAGGCTCCCTGTGCTCAGCAGGGAGTCTGCTTGAGATTCTCTCTCTCCCTCTCCTTTTGCCCCTCCCCCCTCAAATAAATAAATTAATTTAAAAAAAAGATTAATCAACAAATGTATTTTGACTATGGCATTTTTTCATTTAATAAGTATCTAAGTGATAAGTAAATCATTTCTGCGACCTATACGTATAAGATATAAAGCTGGTTCTAAATGGCGTCAGTTTAATCTCTAAACCTACATTTTTATTTTTATTTACTTGTTTGTTTATTTTTGAGAGAGAGAGTGGAGGGACCAGCAGGGGGGAAGAGAGAGAATCTCAAGCAGGCTCCACGTTCAGTGTAGAGCCCAGTGTGGGGCTCAGTCTCACAACCCTGAGATCATGACCTGAGCCGAAGTCAACATTCAGACACTTAACTGATTGAGCCACCCAGGTGCCCCTCTAAGCTTACATTTTAATGGGATGTTAATATTTTAGTCCTTTTATAAATCTCAGTTTTATTCCTCTTTAAATTTCAGTTGCATCGGGGTGCCTGGGTGGCTCAGTTGTTAAGCGTCTGCCTTCGGCTCAGGTCATGGTCCCAGGGTCCTGGGATCGAGCCCCACGTCGGGCTCCCTGCTCAGCGGCAAGCCTGCTTCTCCCTCTCCCACTCCCCCTGCTTGTGTTCCCTCTTTTGCTGTGTCTCTCTCCGTCAAATAAATAAATAAAATCTTTAAAAAAAATAAAAAATTAAATAAATTTCAGTTGCATCTTCTTCTTGGGCATTTAATAAAATAGAACATTATTAAGTGAATGTTTTGAGTTTTCTAATTTAAACAGCTTTTTGGGACACCTGGGTGGCTCAGTCGGTTAAGCGGCTGCCTTCGGTCCGGGTCATGATCCCAGGTTTCTGGGATCGAGTCCCACATCGGGCTCCTTGCTCAGCAGGGAGCCTGCTTCTCCCTCTCTCTCCCTCTGCTTGTGCTCTCTCTGTCAAATAAATAAAATCTTAAAAAAAAAACAAAACAGCTTTTCAATTCAGAACATAATACACTTGTGTACTTTTTATATTGTACATGCTTTATAGTTAATATGTTTTCTAATTTTTTGAAAGAAGCGTTTTAATAAAAGATTCTAAACATAATTTACATTTCATCCAATTATGTATAAAGAGCTTATAAATACTGTCAATTGTATGTATTTTACTGGGAAGTGGTTTAAATGATTGTTGAAATGATAAGGGATTTTTATCGTTTCATTCTTTTCCCACAGTGGAAAGGTTTTATTATTTCTAAGTGATTCATGACTTATCATTTGCTTGTTTCATTCCAAATAGGCTTCCCAGCCAACACCGAAGCTGAGAGACACACTACATTTTATTCTTTGCCATCTTCATTGGAACGAACACCCACCAAAATGACATCCCAGAAAGTTACCTTTTGTTCTCATGGCAATTCAGCTTTTCAGCCAATAGCATCGAGCTGCAAAATTGTGCCACAAAGTCAGGTTCCTAATCCTGAGTCACCCGGAAAATCCTTCCAACCCATCACCATGAGCTGCAAGATTGTTTCAGGTATACAGATGATGTGTGTCAAGTTGATGTGTATAAAAATTGTTGTAATGGCAAAAGAAAGTATTATGGCGTTTCTTAAGTTCTTTTATGTGGGATTTTTGTTTATTTAACAAGTAATCACTATTGATTAGCAAAGCTGTCAACAAAAGTCATTTCATATGCAAATAGTTTTTGAATAAGGAAAGAAATGAAATTCAAAGCAGTCAGGTTTTCATCTCCAAGAAGCGGTGCAGGTAAAATGTTTACTAGGGTGTATGGTTGAAACTAAGGTAAGAATTAAGTTTTTGAATTATATATGGAAACCAGAGTGGCTAGTAATAAAAAAAACTTAGAGGCAGGCCTTTTGGTGTGGAGTTAAAGCTTGAAAGGTAGTAATTGGTTTGGGGTTGAAATGTCTTTTATACTAACCACACTGAAAATTAGTCATTCCTGTTATCGGTAGGTAGTTTTGAGCCTTCATTTTCACTGAGATTGAATTGTCTACTGTCTCATGACAGTTTCACATTTATGTTAGGTAGACTTCTGGTAGGAATATACTTTATGGTGTAGGTTGCATCACTTCAGAAAAGGCTTGAAAGAGTCAGTAGAAGTATCTAGGCAGTGGGAAGCCTCTATATATGAAGTTGGAGAAAAGGAGTCTTCAGTGCTAAAAATAGAAAACTAAGCAGAAATATGATCCAAGTCTTTGAAATTGATGAAAGGTGAGGAATGTGTAATTTTACCTCCCAGTTAGAAGCATTTTGGAACTCGCTGTTCCAGAGGCGGAATAGGCTGAACATACAAATTGGTTAGAAGTTTAGAGAAATTCATGGATGACAAATTTGATCCATAAAAAACCATTGAGGATGTTGGACATATGATACATGGGTAATCGTTGAGAGTGTTCTGTGGGAACAGGAATCTCTGGATTGTAGCTGTGACTTAGTATTGACAGACTTTTGTTTTGGGTGGGTGAATTTCTTGTTTTCCTGTAGGAAATTAATTGTAAATCAAGACTCCTGGTTTGTAAGTCTAGCTGTTCACTTACTAAGTCTCTGTAATTTTAGTGTCTTTGAGTATAAATGTTATTATAACAATTTGCCCAAGTTGTGAAGAGTTTGATTATCTAGGGATTTAGGAGTTCTATGCTGTTATGTAAAGCTCTGCTTTTTTATTTTATTTTTTTAAGATTTTATTTATTTAATTGACAGCGAGAGAGGGAACACAAGCAGGGGGAGTGGGAGAGGGAGGAGCAGGCTTCCCGCCGAGCAGGGAGCCTGACGCGGGGCTCGATCCCAGGACCCTGGGATCATGACCTGAGCCAGAGGCAGTCGCCCAACCAATTGAGCCACCCAGGTGCCCCAAAGCTCAGCTTTTTGAACTTTAATGTGCCCATGGGATGGGTGTGTGTAGGGGGAATCTTGTTAAAGTACAGATTTATATTTAGCACGTCTGCGGTAACACCTCAGAATCTGTTTCTTAAAAGCTCCCTGCTGATGCTGTTGTAAGGATGAGTCCCGGCCTCAGCTATACCACTGCTGTTGCTCAGTACCTGAAACAGAGTCCCATTCTCTTTTCCCCATTTGTCACCTTTGTTCTCCATTATCGTTAGCATTTTCTTAGATGGGTTGAATAGATGTCTTTTGTTTAGTTTGTTTCTCTTTTTTATTAATAAAGGTTCCCCCATATCAACTCCAAGTCCATCACCGCTGCCTCGAACCCCAACTTCCACTCCAGTCCATGTGAAGCAAGGCACTGCCAGCTCTGTCGTTAATAACCCTTATGTTATCCTGGATAAGCCAGGGCAGGTTATTGGAGCCACCACTCCCACTACAGGTATGTATGTGATCAATATTTGTGTGATTCGAAAGGCTTGATCTTTTGTAAAGGCGACATCTTAGTGTGACTGAATAGCCATATAATAGGAGGATGAAGTCTTCATCTGTAAACAAGAGGAGGAGCTCTAGAACAGTAAATCCAGTGCTGTTTCTCTGAGAGAAGATGTACTTTATGTAAAAGTTCTATTTTTTAGGAATTTACTTAAATTTTCTTTTTAATTTCTAAAGATTAAAAGTGAGCCATAATTAATTTTCAAAAAAAAAAAAAAAGCTGATTTTGTATTCATTTGGAAGACATTCTTTTTGGGCCTGCAAGCAGTGTGGTTATTTTCCAAATTAAGCTTCAGAACAAGAATACCTTTGTGGCCCACATATGTTTCTCACCAAATAAAAAAGTGATCTTTCCTTTTCTGCGAATAAGGTAAATTTTGTGTGTGGGAGAGAAATTGAACTCTGCAGTTAAATAAAGGGACCTCTGATAGGAAATTTAAGAACTGGATTTATTGTGTTTGTCATCATAATTTCCTATAACTACAGAGTGCTTTTCAGGTTTTTTCTAAGTATTTTCACAAACATTATTTTATGTATTTGTTTCATTTAAACTATGTGAACACATGTTTCTAAGTGTAAACTTTTCTGTAGCTCTCACTTCTAATTAAGAGAAATAGTGAAAAGAGAAGTGACTATAAGGTAGTAAGACTGATTTTTTTTTTTTAAACATAATTGATTTTAACATATGAATGTATGCTGGATCTTTCCAAGTAGCTTTTTGGAAAAGTTAGGTCCTTTAACAATGATTATAATTGTGGAACTCCTTTAAAAAATGCTGCTTTCAGAAATTACTTAATAGCCTTTTGAATATATTTAGGGATGTCAAATAGGTATCCTTTGAGGATGGTTAGTTTTAGGAATTAGCCAGTCTTTGCAGGCAAGTTTGATAAATGGAGCAGGTGATCAAATACCATTTTTGGTCTTGACTTACTTTTGACTATAGGTAGTGGGACTTGTTTTTATCAGACCCTAAAGGCAGTTATACACATGGAGTATAAATTGCTTAATGTCAGCGTCACTTTGGAATAGGTACGACCTCCTGGTGAATTCACTTAGAATTCACTTAGAGTCATACATGTGGTCCATCATTACGTAACCAATACCCTTATGTTCTGGTATCTGTCTCTGTATACAGGTATCAGAGTGTGTAATATCTACGTACTTCTACACGTCCTCACTATCTTCTTGTCTATTTTTAGGTTAGTGAGGTGGTCAGCTTCATAGGAGGAATCCTTAAGTATTTTTTCTATAATAATTTCATGGTTGTGAGTTTTCAACACTTTAAAAATGAAAAATGGTGGGGAAAGGGGGAGGATGGTGGAAAATGCTTTAAAGTTCCATTTTGTAAATTTTACTTTGTACTTTATTTTAAAATCTGCCTTGCTTATCAGGAAGTCCTACAAACAAGCTCTCTACTGCCTCCCAGGCATCTCAAGGAACAGGTTCCCCTATTCCTAAAATTCATGGAAGTAGTTTTGTAACATCTGCTGTCAAGGTAACACCCTTATTGCATTATTGCACTTTTCTAATTTGTAAAGACAGTAAGTTCAAGCCCAGTGAGAATTTGTCCGTTGAGGCAAATGCAAATTTCATTAAGTAGAATCCTCAAGCTACTAAGTATCTTGAAGATCATCTACTCCAGGCCCACCTGTCTTACTCTTGATCTTTTCCTAGTGTGGAAAATGTTTCTCAGCACTTCCATCAATTGGACAGTCAGTATCTATTTGAAAATATCCTATGATGAGGCAGCTATTTTTAGGAGTGGGTGGGTGGTCAGCTTTGTTACAGATTTTTCTTTATAAAAATATTCATCTGGCAGCATACTTCTTTTCTTCCTATATTTGTACCAATAAGGAGTAAATATATATTTTTTCTATTTGTCAGCCATGTAGTTACTTGAAAATAATTCTTTCCACAATTCTTCTTTCTTTTTTTCTTTTTCTTTTTTTCCTTCAGGGTAAGAAAACCTTTAAAATTAGAACTTCAGATATGATCTGACTTGTTCAGCTAAGAGTGCTAGGTATCTGCTCACTGTTTGGCAAATACAGCCCCTGCTGTTTTGGTTGGTTACTTGTCATTGTCATGACTGCCTAGAACATTTGAGGGATAAACTCGTGTGTGAGAACTGAGAATTCAGAGATCCTCTCCTACATGACCATGAGTGCTAACACATTTCTTACATATAGGTACTTAACGGTGATGATATTGAATAGCTTTCTGGTCCAAGACGAGGTTTTTCTCTGAGTTCAGTACTTCCTGTGTTACATGAATGCCTAAATTGTAATAATTGCCTTGAAGGTCTTAATTCTCTGCCAGTCTGTTTTTAATGTTTATTGATCTTTTCGTTACATGGTTAAGCAGTATTAATTTTGTTACTTGTCCCTAATTTATGGCTAATTGCCTCTGAGAGTTACATTTTATATTTAAGAGAGACAAATGCCAGTAATTTTGATTGTTGACCTTTGTTGGTTTTGGATTTATTAAGTTCTTTTTATTGTTTTGTTTTTTAAATCCTTATTGAAAGTATTTTCCTGTGTATTGGGTATTTATTTGGAGTAAAGAAAACAAATCAGGTTGTGTGAATACTATTGAAAGGATGTATATACCGAAACACTCTAGCTGTTTCATTTATTTATTTAGTGCCTAGGCTCTAGGGATAGAGAAGAAATAAAATACAGTGCCAGGCCTTTAGTGGCTTACCATTAGGCAGGGGACTAGACATGCAAACCTGTGAGCCAACCAAATGTTAGAGGTGTATAATAGTCTTACCAGCATACACCGGGGCACAGATGACTAGGTTCTTGCCAGGTCATAGCCTTTCCTTGCATTTGGTTTCTAAAACAATAATTAAAATGTGAGTGTGGGGCCTTGGAAGACCCCAGAGAGTTTTGAGTTTTGGGGTTTTTTTGTTTTTTGATTATGTTGGTAGAGAATGTCACAGGTTTATACTAAATATAAGGACAGTTATATATATATTATAAACATAAGGACTATCTGAAGTCAGTTATTTTATCCTAATTGTACAATGTGTATTTTTACATACGCAGCAAGAGGATTCTTTGTTTGCATCTATGCCACCTCTTTGTCCTATTGGGAGTCACCCTAAGGTTCAAAGTCCCAAACCTATAACTGGAGGACTTGGAGCTTTCACGAAAGTGAGTATTTATTAGGGCATTATCCCACAAGGCAAAATGGTTTTGTTACATAATTGTTTCTGTGGCATGTTGGAGTTGATTGACACTACCCCACAACATGTAACTTTTTAGTATGTCATAATTCTAAGACCAGATCCTACTAATGTGACAGGGCAGCACTTGGTATCGAGCAAGATGATAACTCCTGAGAGCACAAACTGTGTGTGTGTGTTTCTTTCTGCTGCCATTTGCCACCAAAATCTAGAACAAATGGACTCGGTCGAGTTTGCAGAAACACAGGATCAAATCCAGATCCCACTTTTGGTCCCTTTGATAGCTGTTATGGGCTGTATTTAAGCAGTATTTCTACCCTTCTGGTGGAGTCATTTTTTATAGACCAGGCTTCATTAATTCCTGAAAGCAGAATAGATTCAGATATTAGTGGCTTTTTTCGTGGGATGATTATTCAGCATCATTATCATGTTTGTTGCCAGGTAATCATCAAACAGGAACCTGGTGAAGCCTCTCACGTGCCGACAACTGGAGCTACCAGCCAGTCACCGCTCCCTCAGTATGTGACAGTGAAAGGGGGTCACATGATAGCTGTGTCCCCTCAAAAACAGGTCCTAACTGCTGGAGAAGGGACTTCCCAGTCACCAAAGATTCAGCCCTCCAAGGTTTGTGTTGGGTAGCGTTGGGGAGGTTAATATGTCAATGAACGTTATTTGCCTAAGGAACAGGCAGATGCTGAATTCAGATGACAGGGTTGCTGATCCCAGAAAATCCTGTAGATGGAAGCCCTGTTGGAAAAGCAAGTTAGTCAGTGTTAAACACATCTGCTCTTGCAGTACTCATTGACAAGAGCAGGGCCTGTGTTACAGAGGGTCCAGGAACAGTCGAAGAGGCAAGGGGATGCTGTGTTATCTCTCTGACAGTGAAGATGATAGACTTCACAGACACAACTTCCAGTTGATTCAAGTGTAAAATGGGTAGCTGACAGGACCAACGTCTGATGTTTTATTTATTTCTGGTAGGTGAGTGCTGTAGTTTATACTTCTGATGTCCAGGCTGTGTCGTCTGTTTACTGATTCTTGACTCATTAGAGAATTTATTTGCTTTATAATTTGGAAGTGTGGGGAACTAATATTAAGAAAACTGTAAAATGGCATATAGGTCCATGTTTTCCTGCATCGGTTGTGCTTATGAGAGCCTGCGTCCTGTTAGCATTTATACACCATCAGTAATCCTCACGTATCCAACCTTGCAGCGTGGATACTCTCAACCCCATTTTACAAACGAGGAAACTGTCCTCTGAGGGGTCAGGCAACTTCCTTGAGGGCATTTAGCTAATAAGTGACACAGGATTTGAACTGAGGTCTGCTGCCTCCAAAATCTTCCATTGCAGAGCTAATTAAAATTTGTGAGCTATTGTCTGGAACCTAAGCATACTTTTAGAACATACAGAGTTGAATTATCTTTTTGGGGGGCAGATATATTCTAAAGCCATCAAGAATATTATGTGAGGTGTTTGTTTTTCAACTTGAAAGCGAGCCTACCTAGAGTTAGATGAATTGCTTTGAGAGGAATATTTTAATATAGAAAAATGGTTTTAGGTATTTTGGTTTAGGCTAGATAGCTGCACATGATTATAACAAAAATTCATATAGTTCTAAAACCTGTACGGTTCTAAAATCTGTAAGAGTCCACTAACCACTTTCCCAAACTTAACCTGGTCATGACTCATCTGATGATTAAAAATATATAGATACTGGGGCGCCTGGGTGGCTCAGTTGGTTAGGCGACTGCCTTCGGCTCGGGTCATGATCCTGGAGTCCTGGGATCGAGTCCCACATCGGGCTCCCTGCTCAGCGGGGAGTCTGCTTCTCCCTCTGACCCTCTTCCCTCTCGTGCTCTCTCTCATTCTCTCTCAAATAAATAAATTAAAAAAATAAAATCTTTAAAAAAATATATATATAGATACTGAGACCCCCATCTCAGACTTTTCTGAATCAGAATCTTCTTGGGGGCCCTGGGAATCTGGATTTTTATCAAGCTCTCCTGCTGACTCATGTGATTTGGCAGATTTAGGAACCACTAAGCTATAGCATCAAATTTGACTTGGGGGCTTCCCTGCCCTGAATCATTAAGACAGGTACCCCCAACTGCTTCCGAATGCCCTCACTATTGTTCTGGCTTTACGAGTAAGCCTTTGTCAAAGTCCTTTCATGAATCAGTTATTGTTATCTGGACTTCCTACTCAGACACATCGTAATTCTTTAGAATCTATTTTGCTTCACCAAAGAAAGACACATGGACTCGCTGAGTTAGGTTTTTGAGTCAATATAGCCTTGCTGTTTATGCCCAGAATCTCTGGACAAGTTAGTTTCACTTTTTTACACTTTGCATTTTGCAAATCCACTCCTCCGTAATGCTGAACAACTGTATTGGCTTTCTTGTCACATTGCCACCTACCTAATGGCATTTTCGGACTAAGAAAAATGGGATGGTTTTGTGCTAGAATGCCCTGAATAAAGTTTAAGGGCATTGAAAAGAAAAGCCACAGAAGAGGGTGAAAGAAATATACAGAAGCAGAAAGAGCATGAGAAAAGACATTTCCTGTTTATCCAGGAAATTTAGTACATGCTTTGGACTCCAGATAAGGAGCTGTCTGCAAGTACAGACTGTCCCTGGTTACTGCCGAAGTGCATTCCTAGAAACTATGCCAGAAAACAGAAGGGTGAACAAAACGATACTGTTTTACCTTCCATTCAACTTTGGCTTATCTTTTTTCATGAAAGTAAAGAGGGGTGCTTTTGCCATAAAACGGGACATCTGAGCACTTAGGGGGTTCATGTGGGAAGGCAGCAGTGTGGCATAGTAAAGAGTGAGCTTTGGAACGAGAGCCTGTTACAGATCTCAGCCACTCGTTACTTGGGTGACCTGGGCGAGTTTGTCTTTCTGAACCTTGTGATTTTCCATCTAGTAAAAGGGAATAATACCCTCTGTCTTTCAGAGCTGTAGGAGAATTAGAAACCATTGTATGGAAAGGTCTTAGCACAGAGCAAGTACTCAATAAATAACAGTTAATGTTACGTGACTAAGGACAAATCCTGTGTAAATATACAGGAGTACCATGATCTATTTTCTCATTGAGTATTAAATTGTTAAATTAGCTATATTTTTCAGTGTCTGGAGGAAAAATCACACACATAGAATCCTCACTTTCTGTTTGTTAAAGTAAAATCTGACTTGCAAAAGTCTGTACAGAGCACAAACAAAAACAATGAATCAAAGCATGAGTCAAAGGGAAATATTTATAACAATAGAAAACAAAGGGTGTCTGTTTTGTGAAGCTAGAAGGAAATTAGGAATGCAGAGAGAAGTGCTGTGGAATGGGAAGAGTTCAGGTTCTAGGCTAAAATACTGTCTTGTTAAAAAAAGAAAAACTAATTTGCGGTTGTAGTGTCCTACTTAGGAGTCTTCTTTTTGATGTCAATAGCCAGCTGTGCATAGGATTTTCCCCAGTAGGATGCCAGGCTTCCTTATTCTCCCTTTTTTCAAACAGAGGAGGTGGGGGTTAATCTTGTGAGTGTTAGGCTCTACTGATGAGCTCTGCTTATAAGAACTCCCCTCCTGTGGCCAACTTGGGATACCACATTTTATTTAGTTCTTGGAGGGATTAAGTATGTCATATTCTGGAAATTTTGAAGCAGTTGAGTGAGGATAGAGGTTGGTACAAGGTGGAAAAAGCAAGTTAACATGCATGGAATTTCAGAAAAGAGAATAGGTCCAATCCATATGTATTTTCCTTTAAGATTTTTTGCTTTCTTTGTTGGCTTAGGAACATGAAAATAAATTATGTAATTTAGCTTATGCAGCAAATAATATTAAGTTTGATATATTTAGGAAACGTGAAGACTCTTGTCTCAGAAAAAAGTTTGACTACTATAATAGAGAAATCCAAAGCCCAGAAAGCTTAAATAAGTTTTTTTCTCACACATAAAAGACCAGTAGGCAGTTCTAGTATGTTGGCTTCACAATCATCAAGAATCTAGACTCCTATCTTGTTGCTCTGCCATTCTCAAAATTTAGTTCTCAGCTTGTGGACTGCAATAGCCATTTCATTTCATGCCACCATGTTCGCATTTCTGGCCAGCAGGAAGAGGAAAGAGGGTGTGGGGAGGCATAACCCAAAAGTTGCACTCATCACTTCTCTTCCTGTCCTTTTAGCCAGATATGAGATGACCAACGCTAGGCTGGGAAATGTTCTATGTGGCCATGTCCCTAGCTGAAAACTGGGGGTTCTCTTACCATGAGAGAGAAAACAAAGAATGGATATCAGGGTTTAAATGGCACTTTCTGCCGTTACCCAGAGTTTTGGGTTTTTTTTTTTTTTTTTTGGTATTTTTAATGACTGAAACCAAACTAAAACTGCAGCTTCTGGAAGAACCACTTGTTCTTGCCAGTCTTGTACCTCTCCTCGAACTTGACCTTAGCTTCTCATCGGGCCTTTCGTTTAAGAGCAGGGTCTCTGAAGACATCCTTGTTGACAACAGTCTTGTCCAAGGGGATATCCACAGAGTACCTTGTGGGCATGAGGTGATTGTAATTATAAACTTTCACAAAAGACTTGATGTTTGACCTCTTGGCGATTTTCTTCTTGCCCATGGCAGCTGTCACTTTGCGTGGATAGCGGTCAATTCCAGCCACCAGAGCATGGCTGTAGGGACGGTCTGAGGTGCCATCATCAATGTTCTTCACGATGACCACTTTGCGTCTGGAGTAGCGTCCGGCCACGACCAGCACCACCTTCCCGGGTTTCATGAACTTGCCCATCTAGACACCAGCCACTCGAGCCTACAGCATAAAGCACCCAGAGTTTTTCTACATTAAATCTTTTTTCCATAAATACATAGAAGAGTTTTGTTTGTTTTGAGAGAGGAAAAGAGAGAGAGAGCAGGGGGAGGGGCAGAGGGAGAGGGAGAGAGAGACTCTTAAGTAGGCTCCACACCCAGCAGGGAGCCTGATGCAGGGCAAAGTTCTTGACTAAAAAGAGTTTTTCAACCTCCACATCTGGGGGGGTGACTGTGCCCAGCTCTGTGGCCACAGCAACACTCCATGTTGCCTGCAGAATAAGGCTCATACAGTCAAAATAGAGAGATTTGGATCATCCTAAGGGATTGTTTTAACCAAGCCAGGAGAGTGGGAGGATTTCTTTTCCATTCTAAGTTAACTTGCTTTTTTCACCATTGGTTCTTTGACTCTTTTTTTCCTTCTTTCTTTCCCTCCTTCCTTAAACTTACATAAAAGTAGAGAGGCTATTATAATGAATCCTATATGCCCATTACTCAGTTTCAATAATTATCAGCATTTTGCTAATCTTATTTCTCTTCCTAGGATATTTTAAAGCAGTTACCAGATGTTACATACTTTAATTTCTATTTGACTAAATGAATCTAAGATTTACAATGAAGGTCCTCTGCCCTAGCCAACCATGGATCCACTTGGCGCTTTCTATCCTTTGAGTCTCCGTGTAGCCTCATAGATTACTGTTCTTCGGTTGATAATAACAAGTGTCGTGGGCAGCCGCAGCTGTCATTTACTGTGTACATCATATCTTAGGAGATGAATATTATCCATATTTTATATATGAGGTGTCAAAGGCTAAAGCTCAGAAACATTAAATAACTAATCTAGCTACTAACTAGTGGAACAAAACTGGGAAACCAAGTCTGAGTGCTTATAAAATCCTGCATTCTTTCTTCTGTATTACACTGTGGTTTATAACAGTTGATTAGGGGACCATTTTCATTATACTAGCCATAGTGTCCAAGCACATGGCAAGTGTATTTTACTGTATTTACATTCTTTGAAAAAAAAACACGTATGATTTAGTAATTATTTAACTTAAAAGTTCCATTTATCAGTTGCATATGGTCTATCATTTTGTTCTACTTCTTAGGTAATCCTATTGTTATTATTATTGGTAATCCAATTATTTTTAATTTAGAAAGATTCTAAAGTAAAATACAGAGAAGAATATAATCAGTGCCCATATATCCTCCACCCAAAATTGACATGTTCATATTGATTTCATCTCATATTTTCCCCAAATGAAACATGACAGAGTTGAAGTCCACTTTGTTTTTCCCAAAAGCAACACTATCATGAATTTGGATGTGTAGCTTTCCAGTTCATACTTTCATTGCATAAATCCATAGCCATAAATAACATGTAATGTTGTGTGTTTTGAAGATTTACATAAAAGATATTTATACTCATATATTTCTGCAGCTCCCCTTTCAGTATTTGTACTGTCAGAGTTTGTTGCTCCTGATATATGTAGTTCTGCTTCATTCATTTTTACTAATGAATGCTATTCCACTGACTGTCCTATACCACAGTTTATCCATTCCTCTACCTGTAGACATTAAGCTTGTTGTTACATGTTATAGGCATTATGTTTGTTGATAATTTTCTGTAATTATAAATAATGCTACCTTGGCCATTCTGTATATGTTCCCTTGAGCACATGTCTAAGATTTCTGTAGGATGTTTCTAAAAGAGGAATTGTTACAACATGGGATATGTGAATTTTCAATTTTAGTAGATATGCCAGTACCTCTGTGGAGTGGCTGTACAAATATACTTTTCTTTAGCAGTAAACAAATGTTCCTATTTCCCCATACCCTCCAGCCACTTCTTGGTGTTATCAGACTTTTAAATTTTTGTCTCCAATCTGATGGGTGAAAAGTACTAATACTTTATCATTTTCACTTTTAGAAGGTAGATCTTTTGGTATTCTTTTAACCTTATAAAAGTCTTTTCATCTAGTTTCTGGTGAGAAGTTCTTTTTATGAAATAACTGAGAAATGGGAAACACTACCCCAATTTGCCATTAATTAAATTGTTTCTTCTAACTTAACATCCTACTATTGACTTTTAAAAGAGTTCTATAGTATTTTCTTACTTGCAAGAGTTCACTTTAAATTATCATCAGAACCAGATATTTCCAACTTGCATAATCTGGGTTTTGGGGTCTTTTTTTTTTTTAAAGATTTTTTTTTTTAAGATTTTATTTATGAGAGAGAGATTATGAGAGGGGAGAGGATCAGAGGGATAAGCAGACTCCCCGGGGAGCCTGACGTGGGGCTCGATCACAGGACCCTGGGATCATGACCCGAGCTGAAGGCAGACGCCTAACCGACTGAACCACCCGGGCACTCCCCCCCCTTTTTTTTTAAGATTTACTGATTTATTTTAGAGCATGTGAGAGTGTGCGCGTGTGCACCTGGTAGGGGAGGAGCAGAGGGAGAGAAGCAGACTTCCGACTGAGCACAGAGCCCCATGCAGCCTGCACCCATGACCGTGAGATCATGACCCCAGCCAAAATAGAGTCGGACGCTTAACCAATGGAGCCACCCAGGCTCCCCTAGACTTCTTTTTTAGCCAAATGTTTCCCTTTAAGGAAAGGAAAAATTAGAAGTATATAGAAAAATATAACTTTTCTTAAAAATCAGTTGGAAGAAGTGTCACATGTTACACTACGTAATAAATGACCTGAATTGTTAGGAGTTCTAGAGATGAAGAAATAGGCATTTCAGATGGGGATAATATAGGAGTGGTTACTAAGAGAGATGATCTTTAAAATTATGTAGTGGAGTTTCTAGTTCATATATGGGAATGTTTATTGCACAGTTTTTTTTTTTTTTAAGATTTTATTTATCTGTTTGAGAGAGAGCATGCATGAACGGGGAGGGGCAGAGGGAGAGAAGCAGACTCGCCGCTGAGCAGGGAGCCCGATGCGGGGCTGGATCCCAGGACCCTGAGATCATGGCCTGAGCTGAAGACAGACACTTAACCGACTCAGCCACCTAGGAGCCCCTGTTGCAGTTTTTCTTAATGTGAAGTTTAAAATTACCTGGATATCCACACAGTAGTGAAATGTTTGCATAGATTATGGTATATCTGTTCTAATATATTTGGCCATCTAAAAATGTTTTTGAAAAACAGTAACATTGGAAAATGCCTGTAATATGATGTTAAATTTAAAAATTACAACATTGTACATGCGATCCTAATCTGTGTTTTAAAATGTACATTAAAAAGAATTGGAAGCAAACATATTAAAAATATTAAGAGGTTATTTCTGGGGGTGCCTGGCTGGCTTAGTTGGGCACAGCATATGACTCTTGATCTTGGGGTCATGAGTTCAAGCCCCACCTTGAGGATGGAGTTTACTTAAAAAAAAAAAAAAAGAATAAGAGGTTATTTCTGGATAAGTAGAATTTTTTTCTTTGTATTCCTGTATTTTCTAAGTTTTTTATTAAAAAAACACATAAAGTAAGTTCTAGATAGTAGCTGGGGTTAAGACAAAAGCCTTTTGTTGTAGTAATATCCAAAATGTAAGAAATACTGTTCACATTTATCATAGGTAGCATTTCTAGACAATTAAATTAGGCTCCATAAGTTATACCTAGGGCTTTGCTTTGATCTTTGCTAGAACAGAGTGACTGTTCTGTTCTAAGAGCCCTTGAAAGGACTGAGAAGCAGCACTGGTGGATTCTCCTCTATTTTCAACAGGTTGTTGGGGTGCCAGTTGGGTCTACTCTACCTTCAACAGTGAAACAGGCTGTGGCAATCAGTGGTGGCCAAATCCTTGTAGCCAAGGCCAGCTCTTCTGTTGCCAAAGCAGTTGGTCCAAAGCAAGTTGTGACCCAAGGAGTTGCCAAAGCCATTGTGAGCGGAGGTGGAGGAACCATTGTTGCTCAGCCGGTGCAAGCCTTAACCAAGGCACAGGTCACTGCTGCTGGCCCGCAAAAGACTGGATCTCAGGGCTCAGGTAACTGATACTGTTGGGGGCCCTTTCAGCAGCAGCTCCTTCTAGACTGTTCTTTGCTAGTGGTTTTATTTGGTTGTAAGAAAACCTGTTAGGTTTATATAGCGAGTATATAAAAACATATTAATCTTTTCCAGGTAACATTTTACATAGAGGTCTGTAAGTAGTTTATTTTAAGGTGTGTGTGTGTTTTAGCAAGGGTAATAAAAATAGAGGGTATTTCTTGTTACTGCTTTCAGGTCTGAAGGATAATTTTCATTTGACCGTATCTCCACTTTGGGTAGTATTCAGACTTAAATTCTTGGGATGTCGTTTGTCAGCAGCATTTTGAGATACTTGACTAATGCATTCTCTACCAAATAAGTTTAAACACCTTGCATGTGTTTGTTGTTTCAATGAGAGCATGAAAAAATGTACCTAAGACATTAGATACATTTACTAATTTTTGAAGGTCTTAATGAGGCTAAAGAATTGTTGCAGTGAGTTAGAAGGATAGAAGGTAGTGGATGAATCATTATAATGTACATCTGCTACTCATGCTATGTGTTAATTATACTTGAATAAAAAAATTTTAAAAGAAAATGTAGAAACCAAATAATAAATTGAAAGAATAAACAAAATCAACTTTATATAAAAAATAAAATAGATTCAGAAGAAAAAAGAGAAAGAAGGTAGTGGATGTCCAAAATAAAGATTTCAGAGGTGATGAATTGTTGGCGATGACAAAGTCCACGCAAACAATGAATCATGGAACACTACATCAAAAACTAATGATGTAATGTATGATGATTAACATAACATAATTAAATAAAATTTAAAAAAAGAGTGCTTCAGATGGGTTGGAAGAAGTGATCTTTGGAGTTTAGAAAATGAAGTGCCTGAGAAGCCGGAGAATTAAACAGATCACTGAGGATGACCATCGTTGGCATTAGAGCAAGACTGAGTCGGGAGTCAGTCTTCAGCAAGTAAGGGGAAGTGATTGGGAGTTCAGTAAATGAGAGCAGAGAGGTGAGGGGTAAGGTGGTAGAGCCAAGCGTGAACCGCACAGGAGCCAGCAGGTTTTTTTCTTCTGGAATGAGGGGTGATAATGGTCTGAAAGCTGCACTGGAGAGCACAAAGGCTCCTCCCCTAGTCCTGGCACTCCTCCAGACACTGAGGTAAGATTGAAAAAACAGCGTTTAGCTAAGGGTGCTGCTGGGGAAGTCCTATATCTTCAGAGGACTCAGTGTTAATTACCAGAAAAAGAGATAGCGTTCCAACAGGTCGAGGTTCTAGAGGGTGTAATGACCACAGCAGGAATTCCTGGGGGTGCGGTGAAGGAGCTGGAGGAGGAGGAAGGGCTGAAGAGGTGGGTTCAGATCAGGAATGCAGAGCAATGAGGGGCTGGACTCCAGGTGCTGGTGACCGACCAGAGAGGTTTGCTGAGCTTCACAGTGTGTGAGCTGGGATGAGTTGTGGCAGTGGTGGAGAGGGCTGGTGCTCAGTTTTCAGTCTCTGCTGTTCTGGGGCAGCTTCCAGGGTTCTTGCTTCCCCAGGCTTGCACAGTAAAGGGGTCCTGAAGAAGAGGACTCATGCAGCAGGCTGGAGGGGGCTCTGAGAGTCCTTTGTCTGTGGTGACGCACATGGTTCTGTAGGCTTCATTTCATGGAGATTTGAATCAGAGTAACTGCAGAAATTTTGATGTGTAAGTTTTCACTGAAGAGTCGCGTTTAGAGGTTTACAGCCATGTGCAATTGAGAAGTATATTCTAAGGAATAAGCGAAAGCCCTTTGACATAGGTGAGGCTTTAAAAAAAGGTGAATGATCATTTCATAGTATACGTGCCAGTTGTTGATTATGGCATTTTTTTAGTTCTTAGAAAGTGAGAGAGGCTGGAAGTCTTGTTTCAAATCCATAGATTCATTCACTACTAGAAATTGATTAAAGGGGCTTTAAACAGATTTCGGGAGGAAATATATATTCATCCATAGATAAGGTTATTATTTTTTGATTGTCTCAACCATAAGTACTTTTGAGAGTAAAGAGTCACTGTTCATAATGATTGGGACATAGGTGTAAAAATGGGACACAGGTGTAAACTGGAACTGTTCTGGGCAAACTGGGGCATATGGACATTCTATTTATGTACAAATATAAATTCCTTTGTAATTTATAGCAAGCTCTTCTAATAGTAAATTATTTTTTAATTAGCAAGATATTTAAGAATATCAGCCTTTTAAGTATTATGTATCTAGGAAAACAAACGAGTTTACTAAAGTTTGTGTTTTTTAATAAGTATTTTATTAATCTGTGTTTTTAATTTTAGCAATAGTATTGCCCTCTGTTCCAATTTATCTTACTGTTTTTCCTCTTTATTTTTTTTCTTTTTTCCCTTTATCATTTTAGTAATCGCAACATTGCAACTACCAGCCACTAATTTGGCCAACTTGGCCAACTTGCCTCCTGGCACTAAACTCTACCTTACAACAAACAGCAAGAACCCTTCAGGAAAAGGGAAGCTGCTGCTGATCCCTCAAGGAGCCATCCTGCGAGCTACCAACAATGCTAGTCAGTCTGTCATTAAATCATTTGGTTTTTGGGTCTCTGGGTATGTTCATCTCATCCACCTGAGGGGCAGCTCTTACCTGTTTCAGGACACGTTTCCCTAGCTCTGTGTGGTGTTATGATGGTAGTATTTGCCCACATGGATTTAAAACATACACATAACTAGAAGTGGGTTTAAATAATCATAGTCCTAGGAGGCGACACTATTATTTTGGGTTTATCCACTCAGAGTTTGGGGTCAGGAACAAATCACACTGGAGAGGGATGGCTGCTGAGGCTGTGCTGGGAGAGAGCTGTCCGTGTGAGCTATAAATGAAAACGTTCTTTTCAGTGGTATCTAAAAGCTGGGCATACCTGGGGAGACGGTAGCTGGAAGCCTACGTTCATTTATTTTGGAGGGGATAGGAGTAGGAGTAGAATCAAGTGTCTCTCCCTGCCGTTATTTAGATGTGCATCTTAAGTTTGCCAGGTTTAGAGATGGAAAGAAAAATACAGGGTCAACCTTAGTGTATAAGCCTTAAAACCCCAAGGAAATTAGGTGGTTTATCTAGACTTACAAACTTTTGCTTTGACATATAGAGAAAAACAATTTGGATAGTGTTGGTAAGGAAAGGGAAAAAGGAATTATTTCCCTCTGAATCAGAAGTATAATTGGTATAGCAGTTAAGTTCACTAGAAATGAGTCACCCTTGCCAAATGTAGCGTGTGAGCTAGTCACCATTTTGTTTACTGACTGTAATGGGTGATTTTTGTTCTCTCACGCTGGCATTTTTCCCTCTTATATAAAAATGAAATACGTAAGAAAAGGATAATGTAAGGAGTCCATAATTCACCCAGAGAGCCCCTCAGGTTTTAGTTTATGTATATTATGTCACCAAAAGGGAAGTAAAGAGGATCCAAAGGCTTTAAAAATAGAATTTTAAAAAGGGCGGGGAGGAAATGGGGCTCTGGAGTCAGTATCAATGTGAGGAAAACACATTTTTTCCAGGGCAGAGGGAGACAGAAAAGAGAGTGCTATAAAATTACACTAAATTCTAGCAGTGTCACTGAAATTGGATGAGATGCCAGAATGTTTAGAAGCACTTCTCTCTCTGAGCACATTTTAGTCAACACTTGGTTAGAAAATGTCAGTATCAGACTCTTGTCTCCCACAACGAAGTCAGAACTCTTGTTAAAGCTAAGTCTTCCTTGTACTGAGAGCTGAACTAGTCAGCTGTCCTTCAGTTGAAAGGAAATCAGTTTCAGTCCTTAATTCTAGGATATTCCCCTTACTCTTTTTTTTTAAGATTTTTTAATGTATTTATTTGTTAGAGAGAGAACACAAGCAGGGGGAGCGGCAGGCAGGGGGAGAAGCAGGCTTCCCGCTGAGCAGGGAGCCCAGCACGGGGCTCGATCCCAGGACCCGGGGTCATGACCTGGGCCGAAGGCAGACACTTAACTGACTGAGCCACCCAAGCGCCTCGACATTCCCCTTACTCTTGTCGCAGAATAGGTATATTACCATAGAAAGGGGGGGGAGAACATAGGAAAGGGAAGGAATGTTGCTATAAAGGGAACGTCACTCTGGACTCATCTGTTTTTTCCGGTAAGCCTCTTACTACTTCTTGTGAAGTTGCTGTCATTTCGTTGTATTTTCAGACCTCCAGTCTGGCTCAGCTGCAGGAGGCGGAGGCGGAGGAGGAGGAGGAGGAGGCGGAGGAGGAGGGACCCAGAGCCCCGCCGGCCCTGGAGGGATCTCCCAGCACCTGACTTACACATCGTACATCCTGAAGCAGACTCCTCAGGTCTGATCGTTTGTGACTGGTATCTTCCAAATCCTTTCGTTAATTTAACAATGCCTTTAATTATAGTGGATTTATCTTTACGGCCCTGGGATCAGGAGTCAGTACTAACATTTTAGCCACGTTATAAATCTGTATTATTTTGGCCTTGTTTCGGTTTTGAGAGAAGGGGACATAGAGAGACTTAAGTAACTTTTCCAAGATCGCTCTGCTAAGCCCGTTCTAGAATTTGGATTTAAACCCAGAGCTTTCTGACTCAAAAATTTTTGCTACACTGTTGCCTCCTAAATCCATGAGGCAATGAATAGTATTAATAGGCAGTTGAAAATTTTCTCTTGGAAGGGAGTAACCAAAGAGATACTATCAAGTTTTGGCATTTTGAATTAGGCTGGATTCATGATTAGGAACAAATTTCTATCTTCTTTCCCCTTGCTGCTTTTATTTATTTATTTATTTTTAAAAGATTTTGTTTACTTGAGAGAGAGAGAGAAAGAGAGAGCACATGAGAGGGGGGATGGTCAGAAGGAGAAGCAGACTCCCTGCTGAGCAGGGAGCCCGATGCAGGACTCGATCCCGGGACTCCAGGATCATGACCTGAGCCGAAGGCAGTTGCATAAATAACTGAGCCACCCAGGCACCACCCCCCCTTGCTGCTTTTAAAGTCTTGACTCCTCTCTAAGGAAGGTCATGAAATTTTGGTCTAGATGTTCATATTGAGAAGAATGGGTAGTTACCAGCCTGAATAATTCAGATTTAAGGACTAGGTTGTGAAGCTTGAGTTTCCAGCGGCCTCCTCCATAACTACTCTGCCGAGTTTCAGAAGTGGGGTAGCTATTGCTAGTGACACCAAGAGCAGAGAGCTGCTCTTTTCAATTCTTTGGGCTGAGTTGCAGAAGTGACAGAAGGGCATTATAGCTTGTAACATGGTACCTTGTGATTTAAAGAGTCAGGGCAAGTCATTTGAACTTAAGAAATTACTGAGTAGGTCTTTTTTGTTTCTAACTTAGGGTACATTTTTAGTTGGTCAGCCATCACCCCAGACATCTGGAAAGCAGCTGACTACTGGGTCAGTGGTCCAAGGAACACTGGGAGTCAGCACATCTTCTGCACAAGGACAACAAACATTAAAAGTCATCTCTGGACAGAAAACCACTTTGTTTACCCAGGTAAATACACACACATATACTCCAAATACAGGGTGGTGATGATATTTATTTAAACGTTTACAGCTTATCTCTTTCCACAAAGAAATTAAGGTTGCATGAGAAAATGAACAATAAAATAGTATAGAAAAATAAGAATAAAATCTTGAGATTTGGGAAAATTATAAGTAGAATGAGAAGATAAGGCCAGAGAGTTCTTAGATATACAAACAGTTATGTCCTGTATAATTAATAATATTTGCCAAAGCAAATCAGAAGCACGATCAGTTATAAAATTCACACTATTTGTGAGAGGCAAAAAAAAAAAATACCTACATAATATTTCCTTGAAAGAAACAAAATTTTCTTGATACCTCATTCTAAAATTTCTCTAGAGGAACTTCTTATAGGAGATTCTGAGTAGTATAATAGCTGATGACAGCCACAGTATCCATATACACTTGACCCCTGAACAATGCTGGGTTAGGGGCGCCAGCCTCTCACACAGTGGAAAATTCACATATTACTGGACTTCCTCCACTATTAATAGCCTACTGTTGACCAGGAGCCTTACTGAAAACATAGTTGATTAACACACATTTTGTACGTTGTATGTATTATATACTCTCTTCTGACAGTTAAGCTAGAGAAAAGAAAATGTTATTAAGAAATCATAAGGAAAAAAATATTTACAGAACTATTACTGTATTTATTTAAAAAAAAAAAAGAAAAACCCATAGGGGCACCTGACTGGCTCAGTCAGTAGAGTGTGTGACTCTTGATATCAGGGTTGTGAGTTCAAGCCCCAGGTGGGCATGGAGCCTTCTTAAAATAACAATTAAAAAAACAAAAAATCAAAAACCCCACATAGTGGACCTGTGAAGCTCAAACCCCATGTTGTTCAAGGGCCAGCTGTAAAAAGTAAATGCTGTAGAGGGTTTGGTACATGTTTCTATAGCATTCTTTAGTATAAGCCAAAGAATAATGACTGCGAATTTTAGCTGGGTGAAGGATGTCATAATCACCTGTGGGAGAATCTATGGCTAGATCTCAGAAATTTACCCAATGAAGCAAACAAGGTATGGAAGGATGTAGGCAGTATGATACCATTTATCAAAAAACAATGCCTTTTCTCTGTGTATAAATCAGTAGTTCTTAAAGCATGGAATGGATATTGGATTTTTGTCAAATGTTTTTTCTGTGTTTATTGAGAAGATCATACGGTTTTTATTTTTTTTTGTTAACATGGTGAATTACATTAATTTTTAAAATGTTAAACCAGGGTGTACCTGGCTGGCTCAGTTGATGGAGCATATGACTCTTGATCTCAGGGTCATGAGTTTGAGCCCTACATTGGGCATAGAGATTACTTAAAAAACATAAAAAAATGTTTTTAAAAAGTGTTAAACCAGCCCTGTACTGGAAAACCCACTTGGTTTTGACATGTTATCCTGTTTTAATGTATTCTTGGGTTTCATTTGATAAAATTTTGTTTAGAATTACTGTAAGGGTTATTGGTCAGTGGTTTTCTTTGTAATTCTTGTCTGGTTTTGTTATCAGAGTACTGCTGGCCTCCTAAAATGAGTTAGAAACTTTTCTTTCCTGTTCACTTTTTTGTGAAGATTTTATCTAGAATTGGTATTGTTTCTTAACTGTTTAGAGTATACCAGTGAAGCCATAATGGCCTGAAGTCTTGTTAATTGGGAAGGTTTTTAACTACGATTTCAGTTTATTTACTAGATACAGGACTATTCAGGTTAGTTGTTTTATATTGAGGGAGGTTTGGTAAGTTATACCTTTAAAGGAATGTGTCCACTTCATCTAAGTGGTTGAATTTACTAGAATAAAATTGTTCATAATTTTCCTTTATTATCCATTTAATGTCTGTAAAATCTTTAGTGATGGCCCCCTTTTATTTCTTTTTCTTTTTCTTTCTTTTTTTTTTTTTAGAGCAAGTGTGCCTGACTGGGGGTTGGGGGGTTGGGGGGGAGAGACAGAGGGAGAGAGAGAATCTTCAGCAGGCCTCCACACCCAGGATGGGGCCCACTGTGGGGCTCAGTCTCACAACCCTGAGATCATGACCTGAGCTAAATCAAGAGTCGGATGCTTAACCAACTGAGCCACCCAGGCGCCCCCTCCCTTTCATTCTTGATTATGGTAGTTATGCATCTTCTCTTTTTTTTCTTGATCATTGATCTTTTCATATTCATGGTGTTTGGTTTCTTTGGGTACTAATTTCCCTTTGGTCAGAAGTGTTTAGTATTTAAACAGATATGAGGCCCCAAAATTCTTCAGGCAGTTCTTTAAAATCTTAGCTTATTTCTTATTACCTGCTTATGGTTGCAGCCAGTGTAGTGACATTCTCCCTGTTCGGCCACAGCAGAACAATTACCATTGCTTTTTAATAAGTATCAGTTACAGAGGCTGCTGGGAAGATGGTGGAGTAGGACGTCCCTGGGCTGACCTCTTGCTGCGTGGCCACCTAGAGAGCACCCATGTCGGCATAAATAACCCAAAAAGCAGCCCGAAAACTGGCAGAACAGACTCTCCACAGCCCGGCATAGACAAGAGGCCACAGTTGGCAAGATCTTGTCAAAGCGATGCTCTTGGCAAGATCTTGTCAAAGCGATGCCACAAGCCTGGCAGTGTGTGCGTGGCCCAGACAAGGTCAGCACTGCTCCAAAGTGAGTCCTGCCCCAGGGAGAGGGGAAGATAACCACACACCTGTCTGACTGTGACCCCAGCAGTGGGCTGAGGGCAGGCAGCTGGTCTGACTGCAGGCCCCACCCACCAACAAAAGCTTCTCCGGGGACGACACAGGGACAGTGGCTGCAGTTTGGTGCTACTGCATCTCTGGCAAACACCTGGTCTGACTCGACTCAAGCCTGAGGCAGCCCCGGAGCAGCCCACTAACACCACGGGCACCAGACTCTGCCCACAACAGGCAGGGAGCCATCGCAGACAACAGGACTGAAGGCAAACACATCCTAGCCACAAGGTAGGACACCCCTGGAGCAACACACATAGGAGACACCCCCTGAAGCACCAGGTTCTGGGGAACAGACATTGCACTGCAGGACCTCTTCTTCATAAAGCCACTACTTTCAAGTGCAGGAGACGTAGCTGACTTTCCTAACACAGAAAAACAGACAATGCAAGAGACAGAATGAGGAGACACAGGAATATGTCCCAGATCAAAGAACAGGACAAAATCAGAGCAGGAGACCTAAGCGAAACGGAGATAAGTAATATGTCTGATAGCATATTTAAAGTAACGCTCATAAAGACGCTCGCTAGAACTGAGGAAGGACTGCAGGACCTCCATGAGACCCTCCACCAAGAGCTAGAAGACTATAAAAAAGAACCAGTTAGAGCTATTGGACTCACTAAATGGAAATAAAAATAGACCATCTGGAATAAATAGCAAGCAAGAGGGAGTAGAAGAAAGGACCAGCCACCTGGAGGACAGAGTCATGGAAAGCAATCAAGCCGAGCAGATGAGAGGGGGGAAAAATACACAAAATGAAAATAGACCTGGGGCGCCTGGGTGGCTCAGATGGTTGAGCGTCTGCCTTCGGCTCAGGTCATGATCCCGGGGTCCTGGGATCGAGTCCCGCATCGGGCTCCCTGCTCCTTGGGAGCCTGCTTCTCCCTCTGCCTCTCTCTCTCTCTCTCTCTGTCTTTCATGAATAAATAAATAAAATCTTTAAAAAAAAAAAGAAAATAGACCCAGGGAACTGAGCAATGCTGTCAGGCCTAACAGTCGCATGATAGGGATCCCAGAAGGAGAAGAGCGAGGAAAGGGGGCAGAAGATTTGTCTGAAGAAAGAAGAGCTGAAAGCTTCCTGAATCTGGGGAAGGAAAGAGAAATCCAGACCCAGGAGGCACAGAGAGCCCCCAACACAACCAACCCAAAGAGGTCTGCACCAAGACACAAAGTAAATAAGACGGCCAAAAGTAGTGAGAAAGAGAGAATTTTAAAAGCAGCAAGAGAAAGGAAAGCAGGTACATACAAGGGAAACCCCATACGGCTATCAGTGGGTTTTCCAGCAGAACCTCTGCAGGCCAGAAGAAAGTGGCATGATAGATTCCAACTGCTAAAAGGAAAAAATCTACAGCCAAGAATACTCTATCCAGCAAGGCTTTCGTTTAGAATAGAGGGAGAGATCAAGTTTCCCAGAAAAACAAAAATTAAAAGCAAAACCAGCCACGTCCCTGTCACACACGATGCCATCGGCCTGTGGGTCCCAAATTCATGGTCCAGCAGCCCTCCTGCCAGAGTCAGCGTGCATGGCCTGCCACCTGCTAAATGCCAAGTCAACATGCCTTCACCTCAGATTGCCAAGGGCTCAAATTGACACTGATCCCCTCAAATTTCAGCCTCTGTGCCCAAGTTTGTACACAAAAGTGGGAATAATTATAACAGCAGAATGAAGCAACCCAAACATCTATTTCTGTGGAATATAGAATGGATAAAAGGAGTGTGCTAGGCTGAGAACATCTCCAAAAAGCACATGAACAATACATACAGCATGATTCTGGTTAGTTAAAAAAAAACAAAAAACCTGGGAGGAATAAAACAAGGTGAAACCAGAGAGGGAGACAAACCATAAGAGACTTCTTAAGCATAGGAAAGAAACAGGCTTGCCTGAGGGGAGGTGGGGGGGATGGGGTGACTGGGTGGTGGGCATGAAGGAGGGCATGTGATGGAAGGAGCGCGGGTGTTGTATGCCACTGATGGATCACTGAACTCTAAAACTAAATACACTATATTGTTAATTAATTGAACTTAAAATTAAAAAAAAGGAAACCCAAAACTAGCCTTTAAAAAAAAAATAAGTATCATTTACATAAAGCAATGCACATCTAGATCATAAGTGTGCTGTTCAGTGAGTGTTGACCAATGTGTAAACTCATGCAAGCACTATCCCAATCAAGATACAGAACATTTCCATCACTCTAAAACGTACCCTCATTTCCCTTTCAGTCATCATTTTTCTATTTCTGTCACCATAGATGAGCTAATTTCTGTCTGTTCCTGAACTTCATGTCAATAAAATTATATAGTATGCAAAAAAAAAAATAAAAATACACAGGAATATGTCCCAGATCAAAGAACAGGACAAAATCAGAGCAGGAGACCTAAGCGAAACGGAGATAAGTAATATGTCTGATAGCATATTTAAAGTAACGCTCATAAAGACGCTCGCTAGAACTGAGGAAGGACTGCAGGACCTCCATGAGACCCTCCACCAAGAGCTAGAAGACTATAAAAAAGAACCAGTTAGAGCTATTGGACTCACTAAATGGAAATAAAAATAGACCATCTGGAATAAATAGCAAGCAAGAGGGAGTAGAAGAAAGGACCAGCCACCTGGAGGACAGAGTCATGGAAAGCAATCAAGCCGAGCAGATGAGAGGGGGGAAAAATACACAAAATGAAAATAGACCTGGGGCGCCTGGGTGGCTCAGATGGTTGAGCGTCTGCCTTCGGCTCAGGTCATGATCCCGGGGTCCTGGGATCGAGTCCCGCATCGGGCTCCCTGCTCCTTGGGAGCCTGCTTCTCCCTCTGCCTCTCTCTCTCTCTCTCTCTGTCTTTCATGAATAAATAAATAAAATCTTTAAAAAAAAAAAGAAAATAGACCCAGGGAACTGAGCAATGCTGTCAGGCCTAACAGTCGCATGATAGGGATCCCAGAAGGAGAAGAGCGAGGAAAGGGGGCAGAAGATTTGTCTGAAGAAAGAAGAGCTGAAAGCTTCCTGAATCTGGGGAAGGAAAGAGAAATCCAGACCCAGGAGGCACAGAGAGCCCCCAACACAACCAACCCAAAGAGGTCTGCACCAAGACACAAAGTAAATAAGACGGCCAAAAGTAGTGAGAAAGAGAGAATTTTAAAAGCAGCAAGAGAAAGGAAAGCAGGTACATACAAGGGAAACCCCATACGGCTATCAGTGGGTTTTCCAGCAGAACCTCTGCAGGCCAGAAGAAAGTGGCATGATAGATTCCAACTGCTAAAAGGAAAAAATCTACAGCCAAGAATACTCTATCCAGCAAGGCTTTCGTTTAGAATAGAGGGAGAGATCAAGTTTCCCAGAAAAACAAAAATTAAAAGCAAAACCAGCCACGTCCCTGTCACACACGATGCCATCGGCCTGTGGGTCCCAAATTCATGGTCCAGCAGCCCTCCTGCCAGAGTCAGCGTGCATGGCCTGCCACCTGCTAAATGCCAAGTCAACATGCCTTCACCTCAGATTGCCAAGGGCTCAAATTGACACTGATCCCCTCAAATTTCAGCCTCTGTGCCCAAGTTTGTACACAAAAGTGGGAATAATTATAACAGCAGAATGAAGCAACCCAAACATCTATTTCTGTGGAATATAGAATGGATAAAAGGAGTGTGCTAGGCTGAGAACATCTCCAAAAAGCACATGAACAATACATACAGCATGATTCTGGTTAGTTAAAAAAAAACAAAAAACCTGGGAGGAATAAAACAAGGTGAAACCAGAGAGGGAGACAAACCATAAGAGACTTCTTAAGCATAGGAAAGAAACAGGCTTGCCTGAGGGGAGGTGGGGGGGATGGGGTGACTGGGTGGTGGGCATGAAGGAGGGCATGTGATGGAAGGAGCGCGGGTGTTGTATGCCACTGATGGATCACTGAACTCTAAAACTAAATACACTATATTGTTAATTAATTGAACTTAAAATTAAAAAAAAGGAAACCCAAAACTAGCCTTTAAAAAAAAAATAAGTATCATTTACATAAAGCAATGCACATCTAGATCATAAGTGTGCTGTTCAGTGAGTGTTGACCAATGTGTAAACTCATGCAAGCACTATCCCAATCAAGATACAGAACATTTCCATCACTCTAAAACGTACCCTCATTTCCCTTTCAGTCATCATTTTTCTATTTCTGTCACCATAGATGAGCTAATTTCTGTCTGTTCCTGAACTTCATGTCAATAAAATTATATAGTATGCAAAAAAAAAAATAAAAATAGAATTATATAGTATGTAGTCTTTCATGTCTAGCTTCTGTTGTTCCAGCATGTTTTTGAGATTTATCCATATGTGTGTCAGTAGTTTATTCTTACGTAGTATTTTGTTGTATGATTTTTATTCTCCTGTTTATGGACATTTGGATTATTTCTAGTTTTTGATTATGAACCATACTGATACGAACATTCTTGTATAGATCTCTTGTACAGTGGAAGAGGTAGGTCCTAGGGTAAGTATATGTGTCTAAGAAAGTTTATAAGAAACTGACAAATTGGTTGCAAAGTGGTTGTACCGTTTGACTCTCCCATAAATAATGTGAGAGAGTTCCAGTTGTCCTGCATCCTCATCAACATGGAGGACTGTCTTCCTTTTATTTTTAGCCATTTTTGTGAGTATGAAGTGATATCTCATTGTGTTTTTTTTTTAACTTTTTAACTTTTTTTTTTTTTTAAGATTTTATTTATTGACAGAGACACAGCGAGAGAGGGAACATAAGCAGGGGGAGTGGGAGAGGGAGAAGCAGGCTTCCCACTGAGCAGGGAGCCTGATGGAGGGCTCGATCCCAGGACCCTGGGATCATGAGCTGAAGGCAGACTCCCAACGACTAAGCCACCCAGGCGCCCCTAAAAATTTTTTTTAAAGATTTTTATTAATTTGACAGAGACACAGCGAGAGAGGGAACACAAGCTGGGGGAGTGGGAGAGGGAGAAGCAGGCTCCCCGCAGAGCAGGGAACCCGATGCAGGGCTCAATCCCAGGACACTGGGATTGTGACCTGAGCCAAAGGTGACTGAGCCGCCCAGGCGCAGGCGCCCCCTCATTGTGGTTTTAATTTGCATTAGACTCCAATGCAAATTATGCCATGGCTGCTACTTCTGGATACTTTTTTACATCATTTTTTTTTTAAGGTTTTATTTATTTATTTGACAGAGAGAGAGTGCACAAGTAGGCAGAGAGGCAGGCAGGGAGGCAGGTAGAGGGAGAGGGAGAAGCAGGCTCTCCACTGAGCAGGGAACCTGATGAGGGGCTCGATCCCAGGACTCTCGGATCATGACCTGAGCTGAAGGCAGCCGCTTAACCGACTGAGCCACCCAGGCACCCCTGCTACTTCTGGATTCTAATCATGACCCCTCCAGTTACTGTGTGACCCTCGTAAAATTACTGAGCTTAATCTCTTCCTCTGTAAAATGAAACTAAAATCTACCCTATAAGGTTTATGAAAAGATTGAATGACATAAGGTATGTAAAAATGCTTTCTGCTATTCCTGACACAAAGTAACTCCTCGGGGACTGAAGAATGGTATCTGCTTGTGGAGTGTATTAATTTGGGCACTAAGCAGTCATTTGGGCCAGGGGTCCGCACACTATGCCCAAGGCTCCCTGTTTTTATGAATAATAATTTATTGGCACACAGCCACCCCCATTTCATCTGTAACATAGAGCTGAGGAGTTGAAATGAAGACCATATGGCCTGCAATGCTGTACATACTTATACCGTTTTCAGGAAAAATTTGCTGAGCCTTGATTTACCCATTAAAACTATAATTTGTTGAATGGTAGTGAAATGCTCAGCCTGTACTAGCCTAGAGCACTTAAATGTACCCATTTAAACCTGGCCCATCTTGTTTAGATTTTCATGTTTAAAGATTACGTGTACATTTAAGAGTGTTTTGGACTCATTTACTTTGATAACACATGACCTGGTGTCTTTGAAGTCACTGCTGCCAAATAGTGGCTTGCAGATGCATTCCTTTATTTGTTCTACATTAGGGGTAAAGGAACATCTGTACATAAAAAGTCAAACTTGAGAGCTTATTGGAAAGGTGCACAAACACCTCATATGTTTTTGATTAGCAAGACTTTCTTGGCTCTGCTCTAATTCTTGGGCCCTGTGTAGGTAAGGAATAAATTGCGCCTGTGAACCAGGGCAACATTATTACTTCAACCCATTTTGTTTCTGCAGGCAGCCCCTGGGGGACAAGCATCGCTAATGAAAATATCTGATAGCACACTGAAGTCTGTGCCAGCCACCTCACAACTCTCAAAGCCTGGAACCACAATGCTGAGAGTGGCAGGAGGGGTTATCACAACTGCCACTTCCCCAGCTGTGGCGCTCTCAGCAAACGGTCCTGCCCAGCCGGTGAGGATTAGCATGACCCTAGAAAACCATAATGAAACAAAGTAGTAAAAATATAAGATATTTAGCAGGTCTACCACTGGGTCATATTTATCTTTTTTAAAAATTTGAAGTACAGTTCACATGCCATGAAATTCTCCCATTTTCAAGTGTATAGTTCTCTGGTTTTTATTATATTCTCAAGGTTGTGCACTCATCACCACTCTCTGTTTTAGAATGTTTAATCACTCCTAAAGCAAACTCCATACCCAGTAGCAGTCACTCCCTGTTCCCTCCTCCCCCTTGCCTCCCCAGTACTAGACAACCACTAATCTTTCTTGGGTCTGGCTTCTTATATTTTCAGGGTTCATCCGTGTTGTACTGCCATGTATCAGTACTTCTTTATAGCTGAATGGTCAGTATCCAATTTTATGGCCATACCAAGTTTTGTTGATGTATTTATTAGTTGACGGACATTTGGATGGTTTCTACATTTTTATTATAATGAGTAATGCTGCTGTGAATGTTTACGTTTAAGTTTTTGTATAATCATATGTTTTTGGTTTTTTTGGCTCTATACATAGGAAAGGGATTCCTGGATCATATCATAAACTCTTTAACATTTTGAGGAACTGCCAAACAGTTTTCCCAGACACCTGCACCATTTTAGACTCCTACCAGCAATGTATGAGGGCTCCAGTTTTTCCATATCCTCGCTAATGCTTGTTCTTGTCCTTTTTGTTGTTGTTGTTAACCCATTCTAGTGGGTGTGAAATGGTATCTCACTGTGGTTTTGATTTGCAGTTCCCTGTTAGCTAATGATATTGAGCATCTTTTTATGTACTTATTGTCCATTTCTGTATCTTTTTGGGAGAAATGTCTCTTCAGATCCTCTGCCCATTATTTAGTTGGATTATTTATTCTTTTTTATTACTGAGTTTTAAGTGTTCTTTAGATATTCTAGATATGAATCTCTTACGAGATTTGCAAAAATTTTCTCCCACTCTGTGGGCTATCTATTCACTTTCTTGAAGGTACTCTTTGAAAACCATAAAATTTTTTAATTTTGACGAAGTCCAGTTTATTTATTTTTCTCTTATTGCTTATGCTTTTGATATAGCTAGGAAACCATTGCCTAATCCAAAATTACAAAATTTAAGCCAATATTTTCTTCTAAGAGTTTTATGGTTTTAGCTCTTACATGTAGATCTTTGCTCCATTTTGAGTTAATTATTATATGGTGTGAGGTAGGGGCCAAACTTCATTCTTTTGTATGTAGATAGCCAGTTGGTCCAGCAACATTTGAAGCCTCTTTCCCCCTTGAATTGTCTTGGCACCCTAAGGTCTTTTTGAAGCTGATTTTGCTTGCTTTTCAGGCTTTATCTCCTCCTACTACCTTTCATATGCCTATTCATACCACTCTACTTTGTAGTTCCTTGAACATACCATGTTCTTTCATGCCTCTCTTTCTACCTACTGTCTTCTGCCAACTTCTGCCAAGAAACATTCTTTTGTCTCTCCCTTTCCCTGTCTTAAATCTTGAAGATTCCCCTAAAGTGCCATATTTGTACATGAAGCTTTCCCCAGTACTCTCCCCTCCCCATCCTTAGACAGAAATAGTAATTTTCCTTTCAGTCTTAATAGTGCCTTGTACCTGTGCCTGCTGTAGCACTCATCACAGTTTGGTAGCCCTGTCGTCCTTGAGGGTTGTTACCTCTGGGCCCTAGCATTTAACACTGTGCCTGCCATGTAGTAGATGTTGGTTGGCTGAATGAGACAGGTGTTAAAACATTATAGTGAGTTTTTAATAAAACTCATTTTATTTCACTTTTATATTCTGAGATTATGTCCTTTTTTTGGTGTTGAAATATCCTTTTATAAATAGGTGGTGAGAGCTTTTGGGTTTTGTTGTTTTTAATGTGGTAACCCTCTGATATCTCGTGTTTTAAACTTGAAAAATTTTTCTGGTCCGTGAACTCTAAAAGTGTAGGAAACACTGAATGAGAGAGGCAGTCTTTTTAAATGGCATGGCATTTAATAGGTAAAAATAATAGCTAATAGAGAATATTTATTGAATATACTACATGGCAGTCACTGTTCTAAGTAAGTTACACTGCTTTCTTCTTAATTTCTATTTTTGGCCCTATGGTGAGCAGTCGGAAGGAACAACTCCCAGTTCATCGTCTGCTATCGGTTCTGTCGTGAAAACTTCTGGGCAGCAAGCAGTGTGTGTGAGCCAGGCCCCTGTAGCAGCCTGCAAGGCCGCTGCTCCCTCCGTCATCAGCACCACGTCCCTAGTGCCCACGCCAAACCCCATCTCCGGGAAAGCCACTGTGTCAGGTCGGTTGTATCAGAAGGACATTCTTTCTCTCTCCTGTCTTTGGGCTAGAATATTTTTGGAAGGTCTTAAACGATATTTTGTATAGTAAGTTGTTAAAAATAATTAACTCAGCAATATTTTCCATATAGCTGCTTTTTTGATAACTTATTCTTAAAATCGACACGTAAATCCTTAGTCTGAAATGGTTTATGAATGGAATAAGAATTTTTAAATGATATAATTTTAGCCATCTGGAACTCTGTGGAGTATTTTAGCTGCTTTCATCATGTAACTTTGTGGAGAACTGAGTTTACTCTCCTTATATTACCATTTTTTTCTTTTTAATCATCAGTTTTGAATGGAACACATTATAAAACATACTTTCATAAACAAAGTATATAAAATATAAATTGGCCTTGATGACCCCAAGTCGTGATTTTTAACATTAGGTACTAGATTGGGTAGTGTTAGAGTGGCATGCATGTCGTCTGGTAATATGGGTGCCATCTTTGTGCCCACACCAAATGGCCCCTTAGAAGAGCGTGCCTTTCACTTCTTTGGTTAACATATAGCACAAATCCTGGAGCCAGATTGCCTTGGTTAAAATAACTTGCTTCAGTTTTCTTGGCTGTAAAATAAGCTTGATGATAATACGGACCTCATACAGTTGAGAGGATTAAATGAATCAGTATGTAAATGCTTAGACTGCTGTCTGACATGTAGTAGCCGTTATATAAATAATTGCCGCTATTAGCATGTTTAGTATCCTTGTTCACATTTCTTTGAATTCTAAAATCCAAAAAAGCTGTGAAAATCAAAGATTTTTTTTTGTTTCTTGGTTTGCGTAACTAATTTTAATGTGAAATCTGACTTCCATTGGACAAGCTGTTTATACGACTAAATATGAATATTTGTGTTTTGCCACAAAAATACTAATGTGCTTGATTACATTGTACTGCCCAGATGCCAGTGGGCAGTATGCCAGTATATGTAATATAAAACATTGCTTCTCAAACTTGAAAGATCAGCTTTGTTTTTCTGCAATCCACCACAGACAGATACTCCTGTAAAATACAATAACAATGTCACAGCAGTGTCACACTGTTAGAAAAGTTTCTGAACACTCTTGCTTCTGTATTACCTTGTTGCAGATTGTTACCAGCTTACCGGCTGGCACTGATACACAGAAGAATCTGAGTATTACTGAGATACATGTATACACACATAAACATACGTTAATACATGCATACACACACGTACCTTAGTACCTTTGGATAAAAGATTGTGGATATTGTTATTCTTATTGCTATTACTACATTTCATACGTGTCTCCAAGCCCCCGTGTCTTATTTTTTGGGTAGTTCGAGACCAAAAGATTAAGGCTGGTAGTTTTTCCCATGACTTCTACCTACCAGTTACCATTGACCAAGTTCTAGTATAGGGAGTGCTGTTCTCTGCTAACGGAATGTTCTCAGGCACTGTGTTGGGACTGGAGTAGAAATTGTAGAAATAGAGGATTACTTTATGAGAAATAAATGCCGTCTCCTTTTTTTAGAGAGAGCTCAAGCGGGGGCTGGGGGAGGGGCAGTGGGAAAGGGAGAGAAACAATCTCCAGCAGACTCCCCATTGAGCGCAGAGCCCCAGTGTGGGCTTGATCCCACCACCGTAGAGATGACCTGAGCCGAAGTCAAGAGTCAGACGCTTAACCAACTGAGCCACCCAGACACCCCTGACTTCCCCTTTTCTAATTAAGTTTTTAACATGAAGTAAATGAAGTCTCCTGGCTTTAAGTTCTTGTTTCCTGAGATGCTGCTGATGAAACATTCTGCGTATGTTTTCATAGACAAACCAAACTATTTGCTGCTGCCCGTTAATTTTTCATGTATATGTTGACTCTATTTTTACTGCGGTAATTAATTTTTTAATTGTGTGCTTTTTGGAGTATTTTGAACAAGGTCACTGTTGTGACTGGAGCAGGGTGAGCAGGGGAAGGAGTATTGGGACATAAAGTCAGAGTGATGGGGGCCAGATCACATAGGGCCTTTGTAGGTCATGTTAAGAACTTTGACTTTTACTCCAAGGGGAGCCATTGGAGGATTTAAAACTAAGGCGTAACATGATTGCCTTACCTTTCAACAGGATCACTGGCTGCAGCATTTAGACTAAACTATGGGGCACAGGTGGAAGCAGAGAGCAGACCAAGAAGTTAGACACTAAGAAAGAAAATTCAGTAGTGTATCAGGGTGTCCTGGCAACATCAGACTAAAAGAAGTACCAGAAAGAAAACAGAAGATAGTGGGAAGGAAATGATCCAAGAGAGGAAACAATTTATCTCAGAATTGAAGGGACAGACTTCCAAGCTCAAAAGGCACAGTGTGTGGTACAGCAAATGAAAGATGGCTCACACGGAGGCACAGTTTGTTCATGAAATCAGAACACCAGGGACAAGGAGAAGATCTTACAAGCCGTCAGAAGAAGAAACAGGAAAGTTCAGAAATTACATTATTATTGGGCTTCTCAGCAGTGCTGGAAGCTATGATCCTACTCTTCAAAATTCTAGGGGAAAATGACTTCCAGTCAAGAATTCTGTCGTCAGCCAGATCATCCCCGAGAGTGAGGGTAGAAATATATTCTGACGGGCAAAGTTCTATTTCCTATGCTCCCTGTCTTGAGACATTACTAAAATATATATATATATATATATTTAAGATTTTATTTATTTATTCATGAGAGACAGAGGGAGAAAGAGAGAGAGAAGCAGAGGGAGAAGCAGGCTCCCAAGGAGCAGGGAGCCCGATGCGGGACTCGATCCCAGGACCCTGGGATCATGACCTGAGCCGAAGAGATGCTTAACCATCTGAGCCACCCAGGCGCCCTAAAATATATATATTTTTTATAAGAGTGAAGAGATGTAGAGCAAGAAAGAGGAAGAAATAGGATCCAACATAGAAGGAAGGCAAAGGGAATTCCCAGGGTCATGGTGAAGGGTGTCCCAGGATGGCAGCCAAAGACAGAGTGGAGCAGATCAGAGAGCTGGGGAAAGTTATCTCAGACGGAGTGGAACTAGAAGTTATCTAGGAGAGCTGACCACAGGGAGAATTATATAAAGGGGGGGTGGTTATAGCCATGTTTGAAGGAAGTAGGGAGACTTGGTAAGATGTTGAAGGAGAACTAAACTGAAAAAAGAGGAACTATTATCTCCAGAGAACAAAATGGAATCTCAGTGTTATGGTGTTCTTTGGATCAGTAGAGAACTGTACTGGTGGCTTTAAAATACCTGTATCTACCCTAATAGCAAGTCCGTGTGTACCATCAAAATGTTACATCAGAATCAAGGCCTACAGTAGACACAGTCTTTTAAAGTTACTGAGATAAGTATTAAAAGAAAGAGCCAAAAGGGTTGAAAGTGGATGCTGCTGAGGAACTACATGAGGACAGGGAGGTGGAAGAAAGAATGGCTGTATTTAATTAAAAGCCTTTTTAAGGCGCCTGGGTGGCTCAGATGGTTAAGCGTCTGCCTTTGGCTCAGGTCATGATCCCAGGGTCCTGGGATCGAGTCCCACATCGGGCTCCCTGCTCCTTGGGAGCCTGTTTCTCCCTCTGCCTCTCTCTCTCTCTCTCTTTCATGAATAAATAAATAAAATCTTTAAAAAATAAATAAAAGCCTTTTAAGCACTTTTTTACTTTTCAACTGATAAGCACGTTATATTTTGATAAAAATAAGGATTTTAAAAATATGAAAAACCAGGTCATTGTTGTCTGTGAGGGCACATCTCAGTAAGAACTTACCACTTGACTGATTTGGCACACATCTATTCCAAAGAAAGATTTTCTTTTTTATTTAAGGCTTTGTTTCAGAAAGTTTGTAAGATGATTCCTTTCCTTTTACTCATACCTGCTGTTTTCCATTGCCTTAAAGTATCTTGAGCCTCCAATCCTGTGTGGTTTGTTTTTTTTTTGGTTTTTTTTTTTTAGAGAGAAAGTGCACATGTGAGCGGTTGGGGGGCGCAGGGCAGGTCTTAAGCAGGCTCCCGGCTGAGCACAGAGCTCGACCTCACCACCCTGAGATCATGACTGGAGCCAAAATCAAGAGTCCGATGCTTAACTGAACCAGCCACCCAGGCGCCCCTCAAATGTTGTTTTTAAGTAGTCGTTATATGACAGCATGTATTTATGTTGTGTTTTATGTGCTGTTTCATGATAAAAGCCCTTTGTCGTTTTTTACCGGCCCTCTGAATGCCTCCAGTAGTTGTGTAAGGGAAATGAGAGTATGGAAGTTACCCCTAAAGGAAAATGGGAGAGAATGACCCTTTCTAGAATGGCAAGGGGGGCGCGTCTGGCTGGCTCAGTCAGTTGAGCATGCTATTCTTGATCTTGGGGTCTTGAGTTTGAGCCCCACATTGTGGGTGGGGTTTACTTTAAAAAAATAATGAGTGGAGAATGTCTGATGTTTGGAAAATAAGAGCTGCACAGAGGTAGAAATTAGAAGGTGTGGCGAGTACGCACATTTTCAAAGTATTCGATCTATAGGGATGGTCTGAGTGGGACACAGATAAACTGGGACCAGATTAAAGTGGATTCTGAATACTCTGAAACTAATTTTGGAAACATTCTCTAGGCAGCCAGGAGCCAGAGAAGGTTTTTAAGTAGGAAAATGACAGTTCTCCAAATCAGAATATAAAATTGTACATCCAATTTGTGCCTTTCACAGCTGGATACAGAACAAAGAAATTGTCATAGGAAACAGACTTGGAAAAGATCTTAAAATGTTAATACTGTTGTCTCCACCGTTGGACTCTGGGTGACTTTTTCTTTTTTTCTTTTTTTTCTATTCTGTTTTTCCAAAAATTTCTCTATTACTTTATGATTGCGGGGCAAAACTCAGTCCTCACTGTCACATCATTGTTTCATTGTGAAATCTGCCGCATCCATTGTCTCATGCTTCCCGCTCTGTTTATCAAAGGGGAAATGTCCTAATACCTTCCTCCTGTGAGAAAATGTGAATGCTCAAGAGGGCAGGACTTTAAGGAAGCATCTGATCTTCAGCTTGGCCTTATCTTCCAACTTGTTTTAGGATTGCTAAAGATTCACTCCAGTCAATCCACTCCCCAGCAGGCTGTCCTGACGATCCCCAGCCAGCTCAAGCCACTCGGTGTAAATACATCCGGAGGTGTACAGACTATCCTGATGCCTGTGAATAAAGGTGAGTCCGTCCCCTTGGGGCGTGCGGGCCGCGTGTCCCCATTCTGCCTGCGGCCCCTCCCTGTGCCACCTTGCCCCTTGGCCATCTGCTCTCCTTGGCGTTTTGAACTCTGGAGCACCGACTCTCGCACTGAACATGAACCCCAGATGACCCATTCGTTTCTAAATAGCTCCCCATTTCTAAAGTTGAGTAGAGGGGGAGCATTTTAAGTGTTTATGAGAGTTCCAGGCTAATTGGATTTTTATTTTCTTAGTGACAAGCCCCCATTTCCACAGTTGAAGATCGTAGCTCAGGTACCCTGGTCCTGTCAGTAAACAGCCAACCTTGTCAAATCACTATATTAAGTGAGGACCTTTTGAATGTTGTACTGAAATTGTTTTTGTGCCATTCGTCTAAAATGAGGCCATCACCTGGGAGTAATAATTTCTATATTTCTTACGTCCTCTCCTTTTTTTTTTTTAAACCTGTTAGTGGTTCAGTCATTTTCTGCCAACAAATCACCTGCCATTCTGCCTATAGCTGCCCCAACTCCGATTATCCCCAGCTCTGCTCCAGCAGCTGTTACAAAAGGTAAGTAGTTTCTCATGGTATTTTTGCCTGGAAGTTTTGTGTAAGACATTATTGTAATCTGGGTGCCTTGAATTTCAGCCTCTCTGAGTCACATCAGAAATACTTAACAAATGTTTATATAGTAGACCTGACACTGAGGGAAACAGAGATGGGTAAAGCATCATCTGCACTTTAAGAACTTACAAAATCAGGGGCACCTGTGTGGCTCAGTTGTTACGCGTCTGCCTTCAGCTCAGGTCATGATTTTGCGGTCCTGGGATCGAGCCCCACATCGGGCTCCCTGCTCCTTGGGAGCCTGTTTCTCCCTCTGCCTCTCTCTCTCTCTCTCTTTCATGAATAAATAAATAAAATCTTTAAAAAATAAATAAAAGCCTTTTAAGCACTTTTTTACTTTTCAACTGATAAGCACGTTATATTTTGATAAAAATAAGGATTTTAAAAATATGAAAAACCAGGTCATTGTTGTCTGTGAGGGCACATCTCAGTAAGAACTTACCACTTGACTGATTTGGCACACATCTATTCCAAAGAAAGATTTTCTTTTTTATTTAAGGCTTTGTTTCAGAAAGTTTGTAAGATGATTCCTTTCCTTTTACTCATACCTGCTGTTTTCCATTGCCTTAAAGTATCTTGAGCCTCCAATCCTGTGTGGTTTG